TCAGTGCACAAGGGACTTCAATTTAGTACTCCTGCTCTAATAGATTGTAAAATATGTCTGACCTAAAATTGTCGTCATGGATTCAAAAAACTGTGTTCAGTTCTTCAGAAAGAGGATTTTTTGGTTGGGTGTTGGATGGGTTTTTAAAAAAAGGCATTATTATTATTTTTCTGGTGCAAGTATTCTTGAGGTGTCCAGTCACTGTGACCTTACAGGAGGATGATACTAAAACATAGGAGTTACTCTCCAAACCATTTTCTAGAAGAGATGTTCAGTGGCAGATGGGGCCAGTGTGGGGTACCTACTTGTTTAGTACCAAGATGCAGATTTTCTTTTTAAGGCTATTCTCTTGAGGCAAAAAAGATGCTCTGGGTGAGCTCTGTAATTTGTGCCTTATGTTCCACCTTATAATCTGATTTTTTTCTCCTTGCATGGTTTTGACTCTCCAAGTTCCAATTTATGCACAAAGAATATATTTATTAAGACCATTAACTTCATCCTGAGCCTCCACCTGGAGTACTTCCTTAGGGTCTGGGGCCCCCAACATATATAAGAAGGACATGGGCCTGTTGGAGCAGGGATAGAGGGCATAGAAGATGCTCACAGGCCTGTAACACCTCTCCTCTGCAGACAGGCTGGGAGAGCTGGGGCTGTTCAGCCTGGAGAAGAAAAGGCTCCGAGCAGACCTTACAGCACCTTCCAGCACCTAAAGGGGGCCTACAGAAAAGCTGGAGAAAGGTGTTTTATGAGGACATGTAGGGACAGGACGAGGGAGAGTGGCTTTAGGCTGACAGAGGGTGGGTTTAGATTAGATATAAGACAGAAAAGCCTGACTGTGAGGATGATGAGGCACTGGAACAGGTTGCCCAGACAAGTTGTGCATGTCTCATTCCTGAAAGCAGGTTCAAGGCCAGGCTGGGTGGGTCTCTGAGCAGCTTGCTCTGGTGGGAGGTGTCCCTGCCCATGGCAGGACTGGCAAGGAACTAAATGATCTTTGAGGTCCTTTCCAACCCAAACAATTACATGATTCTATTATCTTTTAGTGCATAAGCAGGCAAAATGTGTTACTTCTGCTGAGGTAACTACAGTAACTCATTTTACAATTTTGTTACTTTGAAACTCATTACTCTGACATTTCTGAATTTTACAATATTAATGCAGATGATGGATGGGTTTTGTTTTGTGTAGGTCTCAGTGCAATTCACCTGGTGGTGATGGCAAATAGCATGTCCTGCCTCAAACAGCTGATTGCTGCTGGAGTTAACATCAATGCTCAGGAACAAAAATCTGGACGAACTGCATTGCACTTGGCTGTTGAACAAGAGAACATCCCCTTGGCAGGCTGCCTTTTGCTTGAGGTAAAGGCAGAATTTCTTTCTTCCAGGTCTTTTCAATTACATATTTAAAAGCTGTTGACAATCCTTGAGTGCTTCAGAATGACAGAAGTAAGGGGGGAGGTTCCTGTTTATTGACTAGATTACTTGAACTGGTATAATGGCAAAGTGACTGGTAATGTTACTGTTTTGTTCAGCACTGCTGGTGAAGCTTTTGCCCAAGTTAAGGAATTTAGAGTTTGTGACCCTGACCCGACTTCATATGCCATGTATAATTCGCACTGAGTAATGCTGGCAGGCACTGAAGTTACCATGAAGAAGTTCATCCCTTCTTCTGTGTGAAGCAGAACACCTATAGAGTTGTGCAGAGAGATGTAGTTGTGTAATCTGTAAATATTTATCTCATCATAACACCTTGATCCTGGTATCCTTAATTCTACACACCCCAGCTGGCTGTGTAGCTTTCCTCTGTGCTCATGCATGGATGTGCCACCACCCTGGCTGTTCTGATGAGCAGCAGGAGGACAGGATTCTGTGCACACCACTCCCACTCCAAAGGCCACAGGCAATCGGATGGCAGAACTTTTACAGGAGATGCAAAGTGGCTTTTATCTACCTGATCTATTTGGAGATACACCCTGTGCCTCCTGGTCCAACACTGGAGCACACTACCACCCTGTGCATGTAGGCAATTGTAGTTATTTTCTAACTCTTCTTTTCAGGCAACAGTTAAGAGTTTTTATGCAACCAGGCACAGAATGGTGCTTACTTGCACAGTAGCAGTGTTTATGCTGACATGAGCCTCGGCAGCTGCATTGTACAGATTTCTTTTCTCTTTTGCCATTCAACAAAAACTTAGGGTGATGCAGATGTGGACAGCACTACATACGATGGGACAACTCCACTTCACATAGCAGCTGGAAGGGGCTCAACAAAATTGGCAGCAGTTCTCAAAGCAGCAGGTATGGAAATAGGTCTTTGCCGGAGACTTCTCTTTCACAGTGAGAATTCAAGTTAGAAGGCTGCAAAGCAGAAAAGAATTTGCCAGTGAACTTGTTTAAATGGGTGGAGGAAGTCAGATGTTAAAAGCAAGAAGGTCTGAATTTCCTCAGAAAGTCCTGCTCTGAGGTGCTACACTAATCACTCTTCAGCACCACCTAATGGCTAGAAAGGCAAATTATGTTGGTAAAAAAAAATCTCAAGAGGACTTTGGGAAGTTTCTTGAGTATCTTTTGTAGCTTTTATAGCTGAAGAAGTGGAGAAGAGATCTTTTTATGTATCTGGGATAAGTGTTGGATTGCTTTAGAAAGAAAACGCCAAAAAAAAATCCCATCACTGAAGCATGAGCTTGTTAGTGTCTCCTATTGCTGTCACTTTGGAAGAATTAGGTTGGAGTATTTATTGGAACTTTTTGCCAATTGTACTTAAACCTATTTTTTTCCTTTGAAACAGAAACCCAAGCCTCCCATTGCTGAGGCTGCCTGCTTGGTCTTTTTAAAAACACCCCCACTTTCTCTGACACTCTAAAAAGCAGCACCACACCATCCCTTCATCACATGCATGCAACATGGGACTGGGACTCAGTTGATACAACCAGAGTTTCCCTAAGGCTCAGCTTGTGGGTTTTTTCCCCTCTTTATAATGGAGAGTAGCATTGTACAGAGATGTGACAGCATTTAAATGTAACTGATAAAAAGAGCTACTTGCTAGCTTAATATAAAATATCATTTACCTGGAGTAGCTAAATTACCTGATTTGCCATTCAGTACATAGAATGCATATTTTAAATATTATTGGGAGGCAACCTGAAGCCCCTTTTCCCCCCCATACCCCACTTGTTTTTCAGGTGCCAATCCTCACATTGAGAACTTTGAGCCATTGTTTGATCTAGATTATGTGAAAGACGACGAAGATGATGATGAAGGGATTGTGCCTGGAACAACACCACTGGATATGGCAGCCAACTCTGAGGTATGCGGTCTGTTTTCTCTTTTAGTTTTTTGTTGCTTTTTTTCTAATTATAAATGACAGTTCAGCTCTCTCAGCCAGCTCCTTCCATTGCATCCAAAATTATTGCAATTAATTTGATGAATTTGCCATCAAAAATTAAGCTAATTCAGCCATAAAATTCCCCTGATAAAACAGCACTGGAAGAAAGCTCCACTGAACTGACTAAGGCTGCTGAACAGAAATGAACAGGCAGTTCTTGAAGTAGTTGCACTACAGTCTTCAGTGTGGGAAAGCATTTACCTGGGTGGGCAGCTTGTGTTTGAAGCTGTCTCCAATGGGTTTCTTTGCTGAGTGTTCTTCAGAATTTCAGCCTGTGTGTGGTGGGAAAATGCACTCCTGTGTTCTACCCGAACAGTGATTCAGCTGATTATTGTGCATGTGGCTTGGTGTGAATGTAAAGGATAAACAGTCAGCATCTCTCATCATCTGGAGCTGGGGAGTGGTACCAAGCTTAGGTGAAAATCTAACCCAGGCTTTGTTTTAAATGACTAGCTGAAGACAGGCAGCAGCTCCTTGCTTAGTCTCTGCTACTGCCAAGACTTCCTCTATGTCTTGAAAATAGTTGCCAGATGACGCAGCTTAAAATAAAGGGAGATTTAACTTCTCAAGATTTCTCCCTGAAGTTTAGCACAGGTTTTGTACATTATCCTTAGTCATACTGAGCCTGGGACGGGAAAAAATGCTCATTTACAGATGGAATTTTATACAACACTGCTGAGACTTAATGGACACTAACCAGATTTCTGCTAAACACTGACTTTAATGTATCCTCTTAGGTGTATGACATATTAAATGGCAAACCCTATGAGTCAGCAGAGGTTCTGGAGGACTTACTCACACAAGGTAACACCTATAAGGACTTGACAATATCCCTCTAGTAATTGAATACTGAAAGAGTAGTGGCAGAAGACACTGCCCTGCTTGTTACTGAGCTGGTGAGAGAGAAGAGGTGCCCTCCCACCCTCTCACTCATAGAATGAGCATGATTTCCTTAAGATGTCTCAAGGACAAGGACTGCATTTGCAGTATTGAAGCAATACATTTGTAATGCTGAGATTGGACTCTCAAATAGTCTTCAGTTTGGCTTTGTTTCTGCTTAAAAATGAAGTGGTGCATGTTTTGTATAAATAATCAACTAACATATTTCTCTGTTCCCCAGGACATTTGAGAGAGCTGAATGAGAATTCCAAGATGCAGCTTTACAAACTATTGGAATTGCCTGATCCAACCAAAAACTGGTCCACCCTAGCACAAAAACTGGGTCTTGGCATTCTTAATAATGCCTTCAGGTTGAGCCCTTCCCCATCGAAGACTCTGCTGGATAACTATGAGGTAATGTGCTGTAACAGGTTATAAAGAACATCGATACACGTAGAGAACCTTGTTCTCCTGCACAGTGAGACAGTGCAGCCCTGCAGTTTCAGCCAGCCTGGATCATGCTGAGTGCCTGATGTCTGCTCTTTCAGGTGTCTGGTGGTACAGTTCAAGAGCTGATCACTGCTTTGAGACAGATGGATCACACAGAAGCCATAGAAATAATTCAGGAAGCACTGTCCATCTCACGCAGACCGTCTCCCCTGGAGGACAGCACAGCAAAAGCTCTTCCATTATCATCACCGCTCACCTTTGCAAATGGAGAGACAGGTAAAACTGACAGCAAAATATGAAGAGCTTTATTTAAGACTTATTTTCAGTTTCCCCTCCCCAGTCTATCTAGGACTGTGAGGATTGCATGCCTACTTGCACACACTGCTTCACCTGCTTACTGGTTTCAGAAATACTTTGCTGCAGTGTGACCCCTCTCATCATAGAGATCTGCTCGGCATAGGAAAGAGAGGAAAAATTAACCACTTGAATCAGCATGCCTGCATCACAGTATTCATTATACTGCTGCCCTTTGCTAAAACCAGACACCTGCCATTTGCTAATGGTAATGCCTTGGATGTACTAGGAATACAGGCAATTATCTCCTAGGTGTGTACAAGTGCCATTAGCTTTTAACTTTATTTTTTTCCTCCCTCACAGCTGGATAAACAAAAATACTTTGGGCTCCTAAACTTCTCAGCAAGACTTCAGTACTAAATTTCTCCTTCCACAGTGTGCAGCACTCCAAAATGGCCCAGTGTTCTGTAGGCAAAGAAACTGGGGATGGCTTAGGTTACACAAGACTCGAGCAGCCCTGCTGGCCAACCTGCTCAGAGCAGGGCCTGTGGAACATGATGTGAGGTTGCCCATGTTATGTCCAGTTCAGTTCTGAGCACCTTCAGTGACAGAGGTCCTACAGTGGTTTTGGGCAGGGAACTCTACTAAGAGAGGTTGTGAGAAGTTTGTCCACAGAGCTGTTCAGTCATTGCCTGGCCAGGTTTAGTAACAAAAATGTTTGTTTTTTCCTGTTCAAACACTGGTAGTGCTGCCTGTAGCCAAATGTGGAAACTTACACCCTGTGTAAAAACACTGTAGGTATTTTTGGTAAGAAAAAAGAAACACCACAGTCACTCCATTCCAGTCTAACATTGCCAGTTTATTCTCTATGGAAAACTGTTTGGTCAATCATGAGTAAACCTTCACACCCACCCAAAAATGTGCTTGTACACATATTGCCCCTTTAGATTCATCTTGAAGGGTAAGAGGGGTTCTGCTCTCTCTGCAACATGGAGGGCATCACATAGTTTATTTTAAGATGTTTGTTTAGAAAAACAAGACTGAACTCTTAAGGTACCACCACTGTTTTAGTCACACTGATCCCACATCGTACAATCAGATTCAGCTCTTGCAGTGAGGCACTCCTCCTGTGGATCCTGCACAGGTGATAGATGCTACTGATTTGTTCCTATTTCAGGGTCACTTACTTGATGAAAGCTCTTCATATGTTTGTCTCAAAAAGAAATCTGTAAGCTGAAATAACATGAATTCAAAGTTTTAGGAGCTTCATCCTGGTGTTGTACACTTGCACAGAGTGTGACTGAGAACCAGAGAACCTTTTGCCCTGCGATCACCACAGCTGGGCAGAGTCCTGACCCATGTGCAGTGACAGCATTAGTGTCAGCAGAGCACCAGGGCTTCTCATCCCATCCAAGCTCCAACTGCAAGCTGACCTCTGCCAGCAGTACACCAGATCACATGCTTTGGTGGCCTGGAAACACTCAGCACAGCTTTTCCTATTACAATACCTCATGTTAGACTTACTTTCGTATAGAAGAGCTTAACCCTACTGGTGTGTATTCCCTAGGCTTTTCTCAAAGCAACCTTGCTCAAGGCACACAAATGATGATGTTTCCCTTTTCTCTCTCCCGCAGGTGAGGTCTATAACAGCAGATTCCAAGACCCTGAAAGTACGTGTGACAGTGGTGTGGAGACCTCCTTCCGCAAGCTGAGCTTCACTTACTCAGACTCTCTGAGCAGCAAGTCCTCACTAACACTTGGCAAAATGGCCCTGGGCTATGGACATGAAAGTTCAGGGCAAAGCAATTACATAGCTGACTAGTGATCTTCAATTGGCAATATGCAATTACAGGAACAAATGGGACATTTCAAATTACATCAGTGTCGTCCTGGCCACAGGGAAGGGAACTCACAACCAAAAGTGCACTGGAAGAATCCCACCTGAATCCGAACAAATGGCAACTGCAGCATGTGACTCCTAGCCACTGCTTCCTTCCTCAAGTCCATTTAATTGTATTCATTTTCAAGCCATTTACAACAGCCAGGGCTCCACTGCTGCATTAATACACAGGTCTGGATGCTGTGAAAGACTGACTGAGCTTCCCTGGTCTGTGAGGATTTTCTTTTACAGAGCAAAAGGAGTTGTTATAATACATAATACAAACTTACTGAAGAGGTTAAGCACACAAGCAATCAGAGGATACAGTTTCTAGCTGCTCTCTTCATAATTTTTGCAGCACAGTTGCATGCAAACAGCTTATAAAATAGCTGGCAAAGAAAAAATCATTACTTTAATCACAACACTGACAACTTGGCAAAAAAAGAGAATCCTAAAAGAATCTTGTATATTTCAAATAATGTATTTAAACTTAACTTTGGTGCCTCTTATTCAGAAATTTTTCAAGTTTGACATTTTCCTACTTGTAAATAGTTTTTTTTATATCTGTTCCTTTTTGAAAAAGCGTGCTTTTTAAATGCTTATTTTTATTTTACTTTTATAATAAAAGCCCCAAAATTAACGCTCCTGTTTGTGCCTGCTGTGATTTGTACATTACTTTTCAAGAAGCGGTATTGAAGATTTAGCATCTCCATTTTAGGCATTGATACAAGATCATGCTGATTTCCAAGCACTAAAATGAAAGGTTGCAAGCCACCTGTCTTAAAGCTAAAGTGTCTTTCAGGGAGGGACAGGACCATCAGCTCCTGCTGAGCAGCTGTGCTTTGAGATTAAAGCCTCTTCCTTATTTTAGTTCTCATCATTATGGCAGCAGAGAATCATTTACACTGAAACCAACTATTTAGTGTCTCAGCAAATTTCCAATGAGACAGCTCTCCTTTGGGCTGTCTGGAATCTGCTGTAGTAACTGTGTTCATGAACAGTGTTTCTTCTTGTCTGACATCAATTCTGAAATGGTGAGTGTCCTGTTATTGATGTTGGCCCAACTAAACAGAACAGGCATCAGAGTTCATGATAAAAATCCAAGAGGGCAATTGTACCATTGTCACTTACTTCTAGTCAATTATTGTGGCACCAAGATGGAGCATTGACAGGGTGGTTCTTGGCTCAGCTCAGTCTTCAGTAACCTGGGTGTCACTCCTGAGAAAATGAATCAAAATAAACCTTGAAAAGGTTATGTTTAAAGTGGTAGTTGCTGTAATGAATTAAACTATGAGTAATGAAAAAAACTTGTGAATTAATTTTACAATCCAGCTGAATTACTGAGAATGTTAATTACTTCCAGGGAAGAGTAGCAGAAGTGCCATTCTTTCTTTCAGTTCTTGTATGTATAATCATCTAGGCAGTGTCTAAGGCATATAGATTTTTGTTGAATTAATGTACTCCTCCAGTGTTGTCTTTGTATTCCAGCTCTAACAGAAACAGACAATGGGTCTCATATTCCAGGAGTGGAGGGGCTCTTTGAGCTCCAGGAGAGCTGCTGTTCAAGTTAAACACACCTTCTGCTTCCAGAGAATTTTCAGCACAGCTCAGGGGGCTGGCAGAGATTTTTACTGAGGTTTCTGCAATCCCGCAGGTCACCAGGGCACCCTGGCTGTTATGCACACCTTTTAGCTTTAGTTTAGACCAGCTCTGCTTTTAAATCACCAGGAGACACCTGGATCTGTATTTCCTTATAGCAGTTTGTGACCAGATTTTGCATAACAGCTGTTTATCAGGTTAGTGATCATGCACAGCAGGTCCCATAGGCCCTGTGTATGGCAGTGCTTTAAATGGCAGTCTGTCAGTGTCTCAGTTTCAGTGTATTTAATAAAAAAGGCTTTAATATTTTTTATTTTCTCCCCTCTGTTTAGAGATAGAAAAATACTACTGAGTGTGTCATCCTACACTTGGTCTGTAGAGAGAAACCTCCAAACTTAATCTGTATGAGCAGTGGAATAGAGCTTGCTCTGTTATTCTGCTACTCCGCTGCAGTAATAAACATCAGAAACTTGTGGAAAGCAGCAAAAGTTGTGACAACAGATCTCTTCAGATGTTCTCTACATTTGATATAAAATGAATGCCCTTGATTTTAGATTGGCTGCTACAGCTGTACGTTTCCTGGCATCACCTTGGCATGTATGTACAAACTTTGAAAGCACTGGAAGTTCTAGGCAGCATTCTGAGATTCTGTGGACTGCGGGAAGGATAAGGATCAGGATCTTACCTACATGTAGTGGTGTATGAACCGTTTTTTCTCCCTTGCCTGGAAAGTAAAACGCTTCTTTCATGCATTTAAGAAAAGAGAGCCACTCTCCTTGCTTCCCCCAAGCAAAGTGACAGGAATGGTGGTGCCCATTTGCTAGCTCATGGTGCAGTGGTCAATACCCACCATCCACAGCTTCTGGCGTTTCTGGATGATCATGTCTGGATGAAATAAAGCAGTTCTAGAGTAATGGCCAATGGTGCTGTCCAAACTTTTGCTGGATTCAAAAGATTCCTACAGCAAAAGACAACACAAGTTAATTACCAAGTTCATTTCCTCCTTTCAGCATTATGAAGCAGCCTGACGTCCCACTTAGAGCCAGGCTGGAGTATGTTTTTCCGAGGCTGCAGAGGTTTCCCATGGCCTCATTTAAACCAAACCACTATAGATTTTTTTTAGCCATCCAGTCACCCTTGCCATATGCACAATGCAGAAGAGCACTAGCTCAGGTATTATAGGTCTCTACTGACTGACTACTTCTTACAGATATGGCCTTTTTTCATTTAAGTTTTGGTTTTCCACACTTACTGAATGAATCTGGGGCTTATGTTTTGCTACCTTGTAACACCTGACTGGAAAGCAAGGTTATGTAAACACAACTCTTGGACTGAAACCTGTCCTAAAAATGTCAAACCAGGAGTTCCTGGTACCCTAAGTAGGTAAGAAAGAAAACAGTGATTCTGACAATAAAAAGTCTGCCTTGTAAGTTTCAAGCCCCAGCTCTCCTCTACTGAAAATAAGAAACTCACTGGCCCATTTCTCTGCTCCTGACACTGGTTCAAGTCACTGAAATGGTCTCTGCTACACATCTCCAAAACCAAAAGGGAACTAACAGAAGTAAAAGTACTGCAGAAAGATGTGCCTTTAAGGCAGAACATTTGTCCAGAACACAAGGTATGCAAACAGCAGGTTAACAAGAAAGACTAACAGAGAACTATCAACACTTACTTAGAGAGTAATTTTTAGATACATTTGCATGCTTCTTTCCTGGAGAAAATGCAGAACTTGAAAAAGCTTCCAAGGACATGCGCCAGTAAACTGGAGCAAAATAAGTCTTCCTTGTGTGGCAGAAAGTACAAACAGGTGCCCTCCAAAGCTCAAAATGTGCAAGCCCAGAATGTGTTCACAGCTAAATCCCAGCCAGAAAATGGTTTTAGGACAACAGATTGGCCAACACCATACAGTGTTCTCCCAAACCTGCTCTCAAGTTCTGTTCTGGAAAGCCATTTGTCATGGCTGCGGGGCACTCTGGCTGCTGCTTTTGCCATCAGGGGAGAACAGCCCAGAGGGGCCCAGGAGCAAACAAAGGCCATGAGCACAGGAGAATCCACTGGTCCTTAACAAGACATTGCAAGGCAGCACCCTGAAAGAACACTGACAGGGCCAGTCCCCTCTACTGCTGCCACCAGTAATGTGATGACACTGAGGACAAGCACCACACCTACCAAATGCTCTCCTAAGGCTCCTGCTGCCAAACCCCGTCAGACAGAACTGGCAACACAGGTGTGCTGCAGCTGTAACAACACTCAGCTGGCAAGATGGATGTGTGGGCAGGAGTGCAGGGTACCTCCCCATCTCGGACCAGATCTGAGACAAAGGCAGAACAATGTAACCAATACAGCACAGGATGCCACTGTCAAAGTACCAATGGTTAACCAAAGCACACCTTACAGCCACTGCTGCACGGTGAGAGAACAGCTTCTATAAATATACACCTACGACAACACCAGGAAACCAAAAGAAAATATTAAGGATATTGAAACAATAATGGAAGTCAACCTTCCTCTTTAAATTCTGTTTTGAGTTCAAGCATTTGACTTAAGCAACTGGTAATCTTTCATAATGGCACCTAGTGCTGAATTAAAGATTTTCAGAGAGAAAGACGGGACCTACTCCTTAGGGAGCTCCTGACCTTCAAAAACAGCAATAATTTAAAAAAAATTGCTGAAACCTTGCTTTGTCGATCTGGTAACTGCAGAAAGCAACAGGGGAAAAAATAATAGAATATGGTTCTGTATAACTGTGCTGGTAGACTTTATTTGCATAGCCACTTCATTAATCATGTACCACATCATTTCTTTCAAGATTTTGCTTAAAAACTGTGCGAGGCTAGACGAGGTCACAGTTATCAAAATTAATGAATAGGTTTTGCTTCTAGCAATCCAAAAATTTTTCTACGTATCTCAAATTTCACTCATATGCTGAGATGAACAAATATCACTGACCTCCAGCTAGGGCTCTTGATTGTCTCTAAACAAGTGATTCCTCCAAAGTTTTGTTTATTTAACACTGTTAAGTGCCATTTTGAAATTCTATCTAGGTGTTGCTGGAAGAGACATTTCTCCATCAGTGTAAAAGAAAGATATCAACAGACTTGCCCTCTTCCTAATACACTGCAGCAGTACATATTAATTATATTTTCTCCACATTTTTCTTTCTTACCTTTACTGATGCTTTGATTCCACCTTGATTCCAGGACACCAAAAAAACTGAAGGATTTTTCTGGTATTGTTGGGCCATGATGCCTCTCAGAATAACTTTTTTCCTTCCTTTGTCAACGCCTGCATTTGTTAAGTTTTACTCATGACTGTCACTTTCCCTATCTATTTTACAAAATCTGTTAACACTGGCACATACATACACATCCATATTTTGATTGTTTTCATGTCTTCTTTTAACTAGGACTTGTTGTGAACCAGATGCAAGTTAGTTGTTTTGGTGACCCAATAAGCATTTGTAAGAAACTCTTATTTATCACTTCCCTTTCATCTCTAAGTTCTTCCTCTCGCTCAGGAGTACGTCAGTTTTGGTTTGGGTCACCAAACCAAAGTATCAACGTGCTCATTAAAACTGTGATCACAGCTGAAATGGAGTCTGAATAGTCCAATGGAACACACAGCTGCTCCCCCACAGCACCAGTGAGTAATGCCCACGTGCTGCTTTTACCACAGCGATGCATGTGGCAGAGGTCGTTCAAACTCCACCTGCTGTGATGCTGATTCTGCTTTGCAAGAAAAGTAATATTTGCTTGGGTGGACAGAGGATCCTTGTGGAACCCCAGCAAGATCCCAGCTACATTTCAAACCACGGCTGACAGACAAGCCAAATGTTTAGCAACCTGCCCATGGAGCGGCTCAGTGGCCTACTGGAGGCAGTCCCAGCTTCACTCCCTCTCCTTTCTCCCTTGCCCCCAGCATACCTGGCTGTTATACTAAACTGAATTTCCACTTACAGAATAGTAAAACTAGAAAAAAATATGGATGTGTTTTCAATACACCACATATATTATATGTAAGCTTTGCTGTTGTATCTTTACATTGAACCAGCAGTTAAAATTCACAAGACAGGAAGAGACAGTATGTTCTTCAGACAGCTCAAAGTGCATGTCACTTCAGCTTCAATCAAATTCTTCTAATTTGTTTTTCTCCTCCTGTTTCACTCTTTATCTAGAAGGAAATGAAGTATTCTCAGACAATGTCCAGTAGAGAGGTCAAGACTAGTGAACTTTCTAGTTCTGCAACACTTGTAGGTTCCCAAGGATAAAACACAACCATTTTCTTCTTTTCAGTCATGAGGAAACCATTATCACTAAATCTGCCTTTTATACTCCCTACATCCAGAGTAACAAAAGGAGCAATTGCAGTGGTCTGAAGAACAAATATATAAACATCATCTTGTTGGGACACAGAGGCCTGAAAGAGAAATAAAAAAATGTATTATTGAAAAAATACATGTTAAAGAAGAACCCAGTCACACCCAAAATGGGAAAGACTTGCATATCAGTAAAACAGGCTAAACAACCACATTTGATCAAAAGTAGTATTCTTCTTATCTAAGAATCGTAAAAATTACAAATGTTACTAGAGCCTTCCTACAGAATACATTAGATTATGGAAAAATGCCAAGAAGTATTATCACTTTGCCATCTTCTTATGAGAATAACTGAATAAATGGTAATCTGAATTCTACATAGTACTGTAGAACTTACTATGCAGTGAAAGAGATTTGTCCTTTCACCAACATTTCACTCAACTTATCAATTCACATCTACTAAGAGAGCTTGCCTTTCCATTATATACATAATAGAAATACACAGAAGCAAAAGATGGTAAAAATCCCAATAAGATAGAAAGACATCTCATCTTAATGCATCATGGCAGTGAAGCCCTTATACTTAATTTAGTTATATATAAAAAAATAGTTGTAAAATGTAAGGTCAAGGTAAAATGTTTTGTATTAAGTTCTATCAGTACTTAAATCTCAGAGAGACTAAATCCCAGCCAGGATGCATTTTCATGCAGCAGTCCCCATTCACCATGAAGAAAGATTATTCTACATAACTTTTAAATACCAGTTAACCATATATAAACCATATAACCAGTTAACCTCTACAAAAGAGGACAAATCACAGTCAGTGCAGACATCATGTTCCAGTTACAAGAAAAGCAATGCTATTCATTTTTGAGAAAAAGCACACATCCTCTACACATTCTGTTTCCTGAAGAAATATAATGCTTTTGATGCTTTTTAACAGCAATTCTACGAACTGTAGCTCTTGGATTAGCAATGTATTTGAAAGTCTAGTTAGCTTATTAGTAACTAAGTATAGATGTACCAGCCTCTTGCAACACAATGATTTTTTTAATCACAGCTGCATTTCTTAAAATGACTACTGTGCATTTATCCTTGCTAGCTATCCTTATTAGTTAATATTGCAAAGACAACACTGTTACAAGATAAAGAAATGAAATTTTCAGAAATGCTCCAGTTGCAGAGCTCTTCTTATTGATATCATCCAAAAAAACCAAACCAAAACAAACAAAAAATCTCCCCACAGCATGACTCAGACTGCAGATTGTACCACCAGATGAAAAAAAAAAACTAAAACAGGCTGATTTCTTTTCTTTGTATACTCAGGAGGCAGGCTGTGCTGCCGTGAAAGAGATAAGAAGAGAAAATCTGGCCCATTTTCTTTTTGTAAAGCAATTATGCTGGTCCAGATTCAAAGAGATTAGGCCTCTATTCCCCCCTTGTTCAGTTTAGCACTAAAGAGCAAAGCTGCAGTTTGAAAGCCAAATGTGAGAACACAAAGGTCCCCATCCTGCCCATCTGATGATTAGGAATTTTCCAATAAGATGCACAGGCTAAGAAGTGAGGTTTAATAAAGTGTGCGTGCACACACACACTGCATGCAAGCTCTCTGTATACACAGTACGCTTGCTAGGAACAGAAGAAATCTAGGAAAAAGCAGCAAACTGACTAAATGACAGTGCTATACAACATTAATGGGGTTTTTTGCCTGTTTAGGAGACTGACACACTTGTCAGCTGTTAAGAAATAATCACTACTATGCAAATCAGAACCCTTACTGGAGGGCAGGGATTTGAAGGAGGAAAGGAGCATGCAATACTGTGTGTTAGCAATGTTACACTGATCTGAGAGCATGAGCACTTCCAGAGGAAATACTGCTGACAATAATGCACTACACACTCAACTAAACTAGGATCGCCTAATCCTGACATACAGCGCTGTCTGCAAGCCAGAACACTTGTCACTATGATATTGGCCGTCTAGGGACAAAAAGAAAGAAAGGAGCAATGCTATAAGGTGGAAGACAATCTAAACAAATGAAAGAGAGATTTCATTCTTGAAAACAAAACAAAGCCCAGACAAAAACCCACAAACAAATAAACAAACCTCAGCAGTCTTATTTGGATACACATATAGCGACACCAGGAAAAAAAAATCTGATTTTGAACTCAACCTGGAAGCCAGAATAGCAACAACCAAGGAGAAAGAACATTCAGTGGAATGAGCCAGCAAACAACCCAAACCAGTAGGATTAGCAAAACCAAATACAGCAATCTAGCATGATTGATGCTTACAGTAAGCTGGGTCTTCTCTAATCCCACGGCATCCTTGAGTGATGAAAGGAAGTAATGGTTCGTAGGACTCTGGAGCCCATCTTCTCCCATGAGACAGAAAGTAATAACACAGCTTTTCCTGGTACAACATCTGCATCTTTCCAGAAGGTCACTGATGGACTCCTTGTAGATGGGGACAGCACTCTGTGCTTTCACAGTCACACCTTCTTTGGCAAGGCTGCACACGGGCTCCAAAGAGCTCCAGGCGTGCACTACGACCTATCAAGCACATTGAGAGAGCACAAAGCTTAGAAGAAAGGCTACATCTCTGAAAACAAAGCAGCAGCCTGGATTTCAGATTGCTCATTACAACAGATGCTTTTCTGACAGCACCAGCTGATTTTCACCTAGCAAGAAACTACACAATAGATATAGCATAAAAACTAGATAATTCTAAAAACCTAACAAGAGGTCAATTTCAAACAGTCCAGAGCTGTTCTTGATCTGAAAGACTTTTTTGTTTTCTCCAGGCTCCTTGAAAGGAAGAGATTGCCAATTCCTGCCAAGTGAGTGTTGGGAAATGGAATTATTGAGTGACTAATTTATTGACTCTTCTTCCTCCCTTCCTGGATTTCAAAAAAACTCTAACAGAGGATTTTTTTGAGATTGCTCAGCATTATCTGATGTAACCCAACTGGGTATGCTAGAGTTTCTGCATAATCATCCCTAAACAGAAGCAAGCCCCATCATCTTAAAAGGGATTGTGAAGGTTATATTAATACAGCAAAATACATTCCCAGACATCTTCCATGCATTATGAATATACCGTTTTTAAAAGGGCATAATTTGGAAATTAAGCACTTAATGAAAATTACAACATTCTATTTCATACATTTTCAGTTATTTTTTGCCTTAACAGGAGTGTGCAGTCAGGAATAGATCTTAACTCCTTTCAAGAGTTAAATTCCAAATCTTGTTGAAGTGCAATATACAGTATTTATCAGAACTATTCTACCGCCAACACTTCTCTGATGCTATCAGAAAATCTGAATGTACGTCTGTTAGAATAACTCAGACCAGAAATGAACAATTTCATTAAGTGCAGTCCTACTCCAAGAACTGACTATCCAGAAATTGCAACCATTTTCTGTAGCATATATTACTCCATATAAGCAACCTCATAAATCTGAAAATTCATGGAAGCCCACCAGACACAGCAATGATCTAGGAGCTGACATACTCATACTACTAGTGAGTTATTCCAGGTCTCGAGGTCTGTTTTCCCATCCTTCACACTGTTTTCACATGGGACACACTTTATGTCAGGAGCTATATCTCATAGTGGAAAATGGTCCCCAAATTCATCTGGGATCTGCCTGCCATATGATTAATAGCAACAAAATGTAACAAACTGAAAAGGAAGACTGTTTATAAAGAAACACAGCAGTCCAAATACTGACTTAAAAAACCTATCAGTTTCTATAGCATTACCAGAAAACAGTTAAGGCATCAATTGCAAAGTGGTGACATGCATAGGTGACCTTCCAATTAAAGATGTGCTGTTCATATTTCAGAAGATAATCCAGTCCTTTTTCCCAAAGCTGTATAGTTTGAGTACTGGTAAGCAATGGTACAATCCCTTTTCTCCCCACTACTTAATCAGGTTATCTAGTTCTAACACCCAGGGAAGAGTTTTGTTAAGCAGTGAGGTACCATTTTTCACACTTTGTTCTATTTAACCATCAATCCCCTAAGATTTCAACAGAATAGTTCATTTCAGCCTTATACCTACAGGCTACAAACAAAGCAATTCCTTCTTCTGTGAAGCACTACACACTACTTTAATAAATAATAGTGCTGCCCCTAAGAATAAACACTAAGAGTTGCATCTCATGGTGTTTGAGCATGGCCTTACTGAAGCTTGTCTGTGCAAAGATGTGCTCATTTCAGCTTCTCACATTTTTGTAGGAGGCACTCAAGAGTGGTGAGGTAGGTGTCACTTACCCTTAAAGTTAGCTTGTGGTCCTCATGAAGGTCTGAGACACCATAGATGTGCAACACCCCTTTGTCTTCATAGGCCACAGGCAGCAGTGGTGCAAAGAAGTTCTGGGCAAAATAATGGAGCAGTTTCCACTTACCACCATACTCTAAAAATGGTTAAAAAGAAGCAACACTGAAACTGAATCCAAGATTGCCTTGTCACACATTCCCTGTATGTGCTTTCTAGTCCTGCTGTTGGCAATGCAACATCCCCCTCCACCCTTTTTCATTTCCATCAAGTGCAAAGAATGACTGAAGGTATTCTTGCTTCCTTCCAGGCATGGCTCTGCCCTGGAAAAGAGCTGGTGCTCTTTCAAGCTTTGAGCTTTCCCGAAAGTTTACATTTTTCTCTCTCTGTCCTATCACTGCTACACTGTCATTCAGTTAAAGGAAGCCTTGAACACAAGTGACAAGGCTGACACAGCATACCATACATAAACCAAGCAGCTGGAGCATCTGTGCTGTTGAGAATCCAGACAAACACACCGGCATTGCCACAGACTATCACTACTACAGAAAGAGACAAGGCACTTATACAAATGCTCTCTTCCCCTTTTTCAGTCTTCCTTTCAGCTCTTCTTTAGAGGACATCAGTAACAATAAAGACAAAAATAAGTTCCCAAACCAAAGACAACTGTGAGCTTGGCAAAACAAATTTGCCAAGATCTAGAGACAACACCTCCTTGGGAGTTAGTATTCATGACAGGCACACGGCAAACAGTTCACACCGCTTCTTTAATGGAAAGCTGTACCTCATTACTTTTAATACTTTGAAAGTCTGCCATTAAACTGGAAAAGCCATCAAACTCTGCATCCTCTCCAAAAAAAGCACTTTTGCTTTCTTGCTTTGCAACACTGCCACACAACCATTTTGAAAGACAAGCTGCATCCATTTCTTCCTCTATTAACATTCCATCTAGCACCTACTATGTGCATTTTAAGTTTGTCCTTGCTCAACCATTATCCAGTCACTGAAATGCCACTAAAAAGAAGTAGCAAGTCAGCTGCACCATCTCACAAGGAAAGAAAAGTTAGATACTGGTTTCATTCTTGTTCCTAGTTATTTTATACTACAAGTTTAAAGCTGATTTATGCTTGATGATGTATGAAGAATATTTTCAGTGAGATGTTTTTGTTGTAACTCTTAGTAATTACTCTCTTAGTTTTGGCTCTGGTACAAAGCTCTTAGCACTTTCAAACATCTCATAATTAAACACCTATCCAGAGTCATCTTTAAAGGGTTGTTGTGGCTTTCCCAGGGGGACTTGAACATGCTTTGTCTGCACTCCACACAGACATGAATGAACCTTGTGAAGAATAAGTGCATTAGTTCAATTTTAGCATCTTACACATCATCTTGTTCTCAGCAAGTTCACAACCAGCTAGCTTGGAGAGCAACAAGAGAAGCTCATATCTGCCTGAAAAACCCACACAAGATTGAACTGTGCTGAGATCAGTCTGTTGCCAGCAAAAACACCACTGGCATTCAAGTTAATTGCACTGAAGCAAACCAAAGAGATAAGGCTGGAGGAAAGCTTCAGGAGAGGCAGCTGCATTTCTTCAAAACAGACAGTTGATAAACTGATGAATATACTCAGTACATTGGTGCTTCTCAGTATAGAACTGTAGAACCATTTATTATGGAAAAGATCTCCAGGATCAAATTCAGCTCTTCACCCACCAAGTGCACCACTAAACCACATCCCTAGGTTCCCATGCCATACCTGTACATCTTGTAAATACCTCTAGGGATGGTGATTCCACCACTACCCTGGGCAGCCTGCTCCAATGTTTGACAACACCTTCAGTGAAGAATTTTTCCCTAAGATCCAATTTAAACCTGCACTGGCACAACTTGATGCCATTTCCCCTTATCCTGTCACTTGTTAATGGAGAAAAGGGGCCGACCCCCACCATGCTATGACCCCCATTCAGGTAGCTGGAGAGATCAAAAAGGGGTGTGGGGGGGTGTGTGTGTTTGTGTGTCCCAGCCTCCTTTCCTCCAGGCTCCCTCAGCTGCTTTCCACAAGCCTTGTGCTCCAGACCCTTCCCCTGCTCCACTGCCCTTCTCTGGACATGTTCCAGCACCTCAATGCCATTCTTGTAGTGAGTGTAGTCAGTGAGAGAAATGAACACAGAATTTGAGGTGCAGCCTCAACAGTGCTGAGTACAGGGGGACAAATCCCTTCCCTACTCTTTCTGGCCACAGACACAAGCCAGGATGCCCTTGGCCTTCCTGGCCAACTGAGCTGGTTCATGTTCAGCTGCTCTCAACCTGCACCCCAGGTTCTTTTCCCCCGGGCAGCTTCCCAGCCACTCTGTCCCTGCCTGTGGCACTGCCTGGGGCTGCTGTGACCCAAGGCAGGACTCAGCACTTGGCCCTGTTGAACCTCATAAAACTGGCCTCAGCCCATTGATCCAGCCTGTCCAGATCTTTCTGCAGAGCATTCCTGCCACTTCCACCCAACTCAGTGCTGATTGCAAACTGGCTGAGGGAGCATTTGAACCCCTTGTTCAGATCATTGATAAAGATATTAAGCAGAGCTGGCCCCAGTACTGAGCCCTGGGAAACCCCAGTCAGCTGGATGTGAATCCATTCACCACCACACTTGGCCTGGCCCTCCAGCCAGTTTGTTTTTATGGTGAACAGTGCACCCATACAAATTATGAGCAGCCAATTTCTCCAGGAGAATGTTGTGGGAAATGACATTAAGGCTTTGCTGAAGTCTAGGCAGACAACACCACAGCCTCTCCTCATCCACCAACTGCATCAGCTTGTCACAGAAGGAGATCAGGTTGGTCAAGTAGGACCTGCCTTTCAAAAACCTGTGCTGGCTGGGTCTGATCCCCTGGTGATATGAACAAAGGCATGTTCTGGCACTCCAAGGACACTTCCTGACAGAAAACATTGGTGGTTTAAAGAACAAATCTACCAAAAATAGGAGGTGCTAAAAAATTACTCTTCAGTCATTAAACTTGAGAAGATGGGAGATTTGGACTGGGGATGGATTATCTGAAACCGAGTAAACAGGGGAGCAGTATCTGATCCAACAAACAGAAGCTATGGGCTTTGTATGAGAAATGGGCAGGGAGAGTCTGGGAGGGCTTGAAATCTCTAAACCCCGCAGGACTGCTACAGGACTTCCTGGAATTTCCATTGTCAATTAATTAAATTGCCAATGCAATAGACGTTGCTAACTGCAGAATCCAGGCAAAGCACACCACAAGCTCAGACAAGTTACCCAGCATGGTCTGAGGCTTCAGTGCCTGTTGACTTGAATTTTTTTCCTGAGTTTAATTCACATAATGAAAATCTAGGCTTCAGCTGTCTTATGTACAGAAATGAATAATGCAATTAATGTAGAACAGTTTCTGCTACTTAGTGTAATATAAAATCCTGGTTCTTTTTGAATGGGTCCTTCTCTCAATCTCTGCTGTGCCTCGATTTCCAACTGGATTACATAGCCACACTGCAGAGGGAAAGTGAGGCAGCAGGGATCCTCAAAAAACCTTTCCAGCAAAGGTGACACACTCAGAGTGAACATGGCACTAAAATTCCACAGGAAAACCCAAGCAAACAAAAACCCCAGCCAACAAACAAAATCAAACAAACCACACACTTTAAAGTTTGCACCAGTTCAAAACCCACTCTACTACTAAGATACCCATTGTTTTGGAATGTTTGAAACATCATTAGTCTGCTCAACTCAGATGAGCTTTTAAGACTGGTATTTCCTTTCCCAAAAAAACTAGAGCAATTTTAAAGAAACAAAACTCAACTGCTGCAGCCGTTTCACACAGGAAGTGTTTTCCAAAGACAACTTTTCCAGCAACAGGATCTTAATAATACATTTGTCAAAGTAACTCCAGACAACAAGGAAAACTGAAGCTAATTAAAAAGCCCATATTTTTCAGCTCTTCTGTTGTTAGGACCAGAACTACATTCCTTTCTTTAAAAACAGGCAGGTTGCATATCAAATACACCATGAACACAAACCCAAAAATGGATGTAAAAAATCTGGAGGTCAGGAAGTTATCATGAGAAACCTCTGGGTTTAAACTTTCCTGTTTCAGACATGCATGCCCAAAGGCAACAGTCAAAAGTTATTTAAAATAGCCCTGGGGTGGTTTTCTCCTTCTCCGACATTTAAAGAAATTCTTACAGAAATCCAAGTTCCTCAATTTTTCTTGACAATAACAAGGGAATTGCACTCCCTGTGGTATTAAACTTCAGAACAGGAAACTAGAATTAGGTGTGTAATGAAACCCAATACCCTTTTTTCTGACTCTTCCCTGAAGGCTTCTACACTGATGGCAGGAGTGCAAATAAACAGATCTCCCTGAAATGATTTTAAATTAATCACTTCACACCATTAAATGCAATGCGAGAAACATGCTGCTAGTTCTTTCCTCACCTCAGCCTCATGAATTCAGATCAATCATTCTCCATAACAGCCTGTACTAGGGCTCGCCAGGGGTTCTATATATTGAACCTGCAATAAAAGCCAAGGGAATCTCAAGACTACGAGTTGGGTACCTCAAGCTGACACTTGTCTGGGAGTGTCACAGCGCTCCACCAAAACATACTGCAGAGATGCTAAAGCACCCAACATGGCACAGCCAGCTTCACAGCTGGGCGCTAACAGTCAGAACCCAGTTGTGGTAAAAGCTGTTTACTTCTGAGCTGAAGCCAGAAGTACTATGACACAAGTGCTGTGCTGGGTTTTCATTCAGCCCAAGCAAACATTTTAAAGGTAAAAGTTAAAAGGAGAAACATTTGCTACCTTCTTCCTTCCCCACCATGTGCAAACATCTCTGCTTTGAACCGGAAATTATGTAAACCCCTCCATGACTTTCTGCAAAGTAACAGATTTAAATAAAAGCACTCATTGGTGATACTACTGTGCCACCTAACAAGATGCAGAAACGTGTTTTTGAAGTGCAAATAAAACTAATTTCTCACAAGTCTTGCATAATTTCAGCCATTAGCATTTCAAAATCCCTCTACCACACTGCCTAATTAAATGAATATTAAACCTTTCCTCATCTCACTGAGGGAATACAACAAAACAAAGGGACAGCTGTATCTCTGCTGAGCTTCTTTCTTCTAAACTTCAACAACATATGAATAATTCAAGTATTTGATAAATATTCTACAGTGATGTCATCTCTGTACTCAAAAAGACATTTACGGTCTCCACGACCATTACATCTATCAATACACCTGTCTTTACAAAGGGACACTTTTCCAAGCAACTTCTTCTCTTGAGGCACTTAAAACCTATGAGCACCACTCATTGCTAGAATCATAAAAGTGAACATTGTGATATTCCATTTCCTAATACAAGTCTAGAAAGTCCAGAAAGATAAGCATCATAGCTGGACCACTGTCTTATCATTTAAATAAATTAGCCTCTTTCTTCTACTGGTTTTTGCTTTGTTGTTGCAGTTATTTTGTTTGCATTAATTAAAAAAAACAAAAAAACCCAACAACAACAACAAAAGAAACAAACAAACAAACAAAAAAAAAAACCAAAACAACAACAAAAAACCAAAAATAACCCAGAAAGGGAGAGGGACAAACATCTCCCAGAAAAAGAGGAGGAGGATGGGTGTGGGCTAATTTTTTCACAAAATCAGGCCAAATGGCATTTTATTCCAAGGGCACATCAAGACTGTTCATAGACAGTCTTACTTTTTCTCTTAGCTTTTTCTAGTTTGTTCATATTTTCTCACACATAAAATGCTTAAATAAAGATTTTCAAAACCAAAATATGTGAGAATTAACTAAAATTGAAAGAGAATCTACCCAAGTCCTACACAGCTGCCATAGGACAGCTGCGCCATTTCAAAACGACTCCTAGACAAAATGTTTGGGACATGAAACACAGCCACTTCCATCATGCCACACATGCCTCATTCCTCCCCTACTTCTTACTGTCTAAGTGACTTATCTCTTTATATGTCTGATTGGTTTTGTGTTCTAAGAGAAAAAAAAATGTGTAAATAGCATATTAGCAGAATAATTTAGTCATTCGCCTCATCTGACACCAAGTTAGACATCAAATCTCAGCCAGTCATCTCCTATAAAAAGCTCCTCAGAAGCTACGCTGGGTGAGAGATATCTTATGAAGTTCTGTGAAAATCAAATTCATCATGAAGAAGATAATTCACCCCAGTTCTGAGACAGCTAAGGACACACAGCTAATGAATCACATTTGGAGATAACCATCCCTCCCCCAGCTGACTAGAGAAGAAATCTAGATGTTCAAATTTTACATCATAAATCCCATCCTGTAACGCATTTCTAAAGGATGGACAGAAATATGTTCAAAGTTTGTAAAGGTACCCAAGAGACATAGCAGAGCTATATTTCTTATTCTGATGCTTCCAGATGAGGAAAACACAACTGGTAGCTGGTGCTTTTTACCAGACTGTCACAAACTTACCCAAGGAAGCCCATGAAGGTGCCTGCCAAATGTCATTGAGCTGCCAGTACAGAGCTCCCATGGTGTGTCCTTCTCCATTGATTATTTCACTTTGACTAAAACGATAGAATTCAGTTTCTGTCTTTATACACTGAGCCTGCATCACCTTGGACAACAAAGAGAAAAAAAATTATTTTTGGCATATTGGATTTTACTTTTTTTTCAAAACTTGTGTGAATATATTGATACACGACACAGACTTCACAGCAACAGCACATAACTTTAAATTTGAGCCCTGTGGAGTATCCACCTGCAGTGCAGTGGAACTCTGCTGAAAGGAGATCTATTCCTAGCAGCTCCCAACAGCTTTGCAAGCAGTACCCTTCAAGAATTTCATATGGGGCTACTTCCATACAGTGAGGATGGTCTTTGAAAGGGAAATCAAAGACAAGGAAAATAAAATGAAATTTAAAATAAGTATTTTTTTACATTAATTTAAATAACCCCCTTCAGAGTTGCAAAATTATGTTAAGCTGCATTGCCTTCAATATACATTACCTTAGAGTCTAAACCTCTAAACTCTGAACTCACGTTCTTACTACAGTCAAAACTGTGCATCAGAAAAGTAACCTTTTTTCAGCTGCACTCCCACTCCTTTTCTCCTTCTCCATGGCATCTAAAAACCACTTCTCAGAATTTTTCATTGGCCAAGTTCTCAATGGATGCTAAATAGACTGCTATATTTTCTTCACACAGTTTATTATTAGGCTGGGGAAATATACAGAAATTCTTAAAATAAAGTTAAAAGCCTTTAGGACAGAACAAAAGGTAAAGATATAACTTCTGGTTAAACACTAAAACAGGTTCACTTTCTTGATCCTTTTTGCTATCCTTATTTTGGTATTAAATTGCTTAACCTGTTAATAGGGCCTTGACAGACTTAGCTTTACAGACACTCTCCCAGCTTTTTTTGAGTCAGGACCTCATGGTGAAAGCTTTATCCCTGAATTCAATTTCACAGCATCATCGATCCCTGTTCTCTTGTCAAGAGTGCCAAAAATTCTCAAGCAATTTTGCTTTCATATAAAATTTGCTGACAGCAGCTCTCAAACGTTAGAAACTTAGTGAGCATACAGTTACTTCCATCAAGAGTGTTTCTGAAATTCTTGAAACACACCAAAAATTAACAGCACTTTCAATTTGCATAATAGCATTAGAAAATTACTTAGCATCTTTTAAAAACTGCACAGAAATCACAAATAAAGAAACAAGCATGATGTAGAACTACTATGAATGAAAAGCAAAATACATGCTTCTGATTTGAAAAAAACCCCAAAATATGTTCTCTAAAATATCCATATTTGAGTCCATAATAAAATAAAAGCTACTACTAATCTAATTAATAGAGAACTTTGAAAAAAATTTTGCTTCCAAAGCTCATGTGCTCCACGTGGCAAGAATCAAAGCAGTGAGCCTACAGGGACCACATGAAGAGCAAAACATTCCCACCCTGGAACAGGGAGCAACATGCAGCACTGGGAATAATCTTGTACCATGGAAGCCCAGCACATCCCTGCCTCCTCCCCCAGCTATGTGAGCCCAGCTCAGGAGAAGGACCAAGGCAGCACATACTGGCAGACTTTCTCCCAGTTGAGACAGTTTCTGGGTATCTCCCTGATTATTCCAGAAATTTGGGAGTCTCTCTACAGTAGAGACAAGCTAGCTCCAAATTAAACTGGACTCTCCAGTTCTTCAGAATGGAAACTTTCTGTATGATGGAACACTCCCTAAGGGACCAGGTCCAGTTCTAACAGCTGACAGAATTTAATGGAACAAGTACTGACAGCTACTTCTATGGAAGACATCCCTGTTACCTGAGTGAGGTAAATCATATCCTTGAACTGCTTTACAGGATCTGGGCTCTGGGGAAGCTTGAAATGACGCCCAATCTCTTGAAGCATCTGAATATTGCCACCTTCATGGTGCTGCCGATGGAGAGAAAAATTGCTTGTGTAGGACCAGTCCTCAGGGGAGGAAACCTTTAAAAACCACAAAAAAAAGGTATCTGAATGAAAAGGTAGAAGGTACAATGACAGCCAGGATACTGAGGAAAGGATATCCATTACAGCTACTGATATCATCCAAAACCTTAAAACTGGTAGTATATTTCTGAAGTGCCTCATGCAGTCATGCAAAGATTTTTAATCACTAACACCCTTTGCTTACACTCCTTGTAGAAATAAATGAAAACACACATTGCTGTTGAACCCCGAAGAGCAACTTTTGGCTCAGTGGCATTTAACTTAATTGTCCTAAGGCTGGCCTTAGGGACCTCAGAGTTTTGCTTGCATTCATAGTAAATCAGAAACACCCTAGATTAATATGGAAGAATGTAATCTAGTCAAACACATTGAGGTATAAAAGTTATATAAGTCAGTAGAGGTATAAATTCTAATAATATGTATATATATTTTCAAAACCTACTTCTGATAACAAATTACCATAAAACAGCTTTTTTCAGCTAAAGACAATGACACAGCCTAACCCATTAAGTTATTATTGCCAAGTTTTCATTGTAATTACTATCTCTAAACAATCTTATCTAAATTTGTTTCTTTTTAGGCCAGATTGAATAATTTTTATTGTTATTAATACCGATGAATGTTCTGATTATGCTTCAGATAACAGGCTTTGCCCAGCAAATTGAAAGAAACATTCTGAACTCCTTTTGGTTGCATGCATGACTATCAACATCTCTCCCTGGACAAATGGACAAACTGCATGGTATGTCTCTGCTCCACTGTGATAAATAAGACAGAACATATAATAGCTAAATTTAATGGAGACAAAACCAAATCCTCTCACATGCAATAGATTAAGAAACAGATTATTTAAATGAAAGAAATTGGTAAATATATAGAAATCAAAACATTTTAAAACCCAGCACAATTCAGCTTTTGTCATATTTCTCCTCTTTCTCAAACACATATCCCTAGACACCACAAAAGTAAACAGATGTTAGTCAACCATGACTGAGCTATACATTAAATAGAATTGCTACCAGAAATAACAGTTTCATAATAGTCTCTAATCCAAACCAAGTTCCTCTTGCAACATCAAGGTAAGTATATTGAACAGCAAGGAGGGAAACAGAATGGTTCCATCCCCTCCCTCCCCACCAGCACACACCTCTATCCCACTTATGCCATACCATGCCTAACAACACATTACTACAGTTTGGATGCAGAAGGTTTTTGGGAAGAGACTCATTGCCGTCACTAAATGAGAGCAAAGGGGACAGCAAGGAGTGGAAGCCCAGCCTCACCTTTTCAATTGTACTGAAGGAAGGCCAGGACTGAAATCCATACTCTGAAGCAAAACGAGTTTTAGGATACACTGTCCAGTTCCAGCAGTCACTGTCGTAGTCATAAAAGTGTGTGTCACCGTAATGGGTGTCATAAGGATTCCGGGAGAGCCAGCCTTCTTTAACTGACTCCAAGCCATTGGTGGGACTGGATGCCACAAAAGGACGACTCTTATCTTCCTGGGATTTAAAAAAAACAAAACAAAAATACAACCCAATGTGTCAATACAAAGTGATTGACACTTACTATCTGAATACATAGAATACTTTTTGAAAAGAGGGGCTTGGGGGCAGGAAGACCATACTTTTCCCAAATTTCTGAGTCGCCACCTAGGAAACATTCCTTTTTATGTCCTAACATTCATCATCTTTACTTACTTAATTAGCTTCTTACTTATGTTCTTGGAGGACAGCTGGGCATGATTCTGCTTGCTCTGCTCTTCTGAGGGATTCTCTCCTCACATCAAGAGATTTTCTATCTTTATATGCCTCTAAATTCTTAATGAAGGCTATTTAAAGTGTGCCTTGTGAAATATATACTCAAGGAACATTAATATTTGAGTACTATGACTTCTTTATGGAAAATTATTACTTTTGCAGTGTTTTTACAGGAACAAGGCCATGATTTTCTCCTTTCTTATTAAACAGTCACCTAAATTTAGTCCTAACAAATCCAAGGTGTTCTCCTTTTAATACATGCATAGTACCATTACAAGTTATTGTCATTTTAACTGGCTCTGCATGCTAAGATGGATGAGACTACAAGAAGTGTTACATTTCAAATTGGTCAGAGCTGCCTTTATTTATAGTCTCAGTAGATTTAGAATACTAAATCTTTTAACAATAGCCTACAAAGTACTGAATCCTTTTGCAGGTATAATTCATTTTTGCAGTATCCTTTTGCAGGTATAATTCATTTAACACCCTACTTCTAGTAAGACAGAAGCCCAAGTTAGTCACCAGTAACAAGTTACTGCAATTGGCTCGAACACAGCAATGCACTCAGACACTTGCTTCATTTTAAGAAACAATCCTGTTTCCCACATCATCTTCTTTCTTTTTTTCTTGGCGTGAGTAATTAATAATTAACTGAAACAATTTACTACAGGAAATCCTGGATTCCCTGAAGTCTTTAGCTCAAAGGTAGAAGTCTTTTCAGGTTACCAAGTCCAGCACTACTAGTAGTTTTAAGTTTCCTAAGCTGGCTTGTATTGCACCTGAAGTTATCTCCCTCTATGGTTCCTTTTTGCACTGAAAATAATTATTCTACTGATTTAAAATAAAAATGGGTCCATCTTGGATGGCAGTGCTGCACAAGTACCAAGCCAGAACACCTTACTTTGCTGCACACACACTGGCCACCCAGCTCATGTAGCTAATCACAAAAACACCATAGCACACCTTTACACACAGCTCAGTACAGAAATCTAGAATCTCCTCTTCTAAGAGGATAATAAACCTAAAAAACCTGTGCAAAATCACACTAGACTTCATCAAGGATTCCACGTGTCTGTGGCCTGCATACTCGCAGTTTAAAATTTGCATCAAAATATTTTATTTTTCCTTCACATACCATAGAACACCAATATTTTGTCTACAAAATCAATACAATGACTACACAGCATGAGTTCAATGTTTAGCATCACTTTTGCTTTACCTGCTTAGAACAAAAAAATATACAGTGACATACTCAAGAAGTAACATCTTTATAGATTACTTCAACTGCTATTAAAAGACCTGAGGGTTGTTAAATGCTTTTCACAGTGCTCTTCAACAAAATTGGATAAAGGAAACCTGATCATTGAGATTAATTAATTAATGGGCAAGCTGATTTTTGTCCACTGGAAGTGAAGGCACTCGTGGATATACTAAAAGCAGGAAAGAAAAAAGAAGCAAGATCTACTACACTTTCAGGTCTTACTTTACACATCACAAAATGTTAAAGACAAGTTTGTTTGTTTGTTTTAATTTGGTGAATAACTCTTGAGTTTAGAGAGTTGTTTAGAAGAGCTTGGAAAGAGCAATTTCTCAAAACGCTCTTCTTCATGTCTTAAAAGGATTTAAAGAAAAAAAGGAAATCCCAGCTTGCTCCAGTATTAAAACCTTTTGCCAAGCCATATTGTCCTGCAGTTTCTTGAGATTACTTACACTAAGAACTATTTCACGTATGTTCTCCACATAAAGGGTCACGTAGTCTTTGATATAGACTCCTATGTCAGGATAAGGTATGGAGAACCAGTTGCTTGCAATTGCTGCTTCATTTTCATTGTTACCACTCCACAGAATAATTGATGGATGAGATTTTAAACGTCGCACCTGAAATACAACTTACAGTTTCACAAGTCAAGCAAAATTACTTATATTAACAATGAATTTTTTAAAAAATAATCACTTTATTACTAGTTGAATTACAAGTCCACATGTATATTACATATGCTAAGCCTACAATTCCCTTTTTTTGCCACATGGTTCACTATTCCCTCAGCTTGCCACCAGGCTCAAAGTTTTGTAATATACACTTTCAGAAGGGAAAACTTCTAATATGCTGACATACATCTGCCTTATGCATGTATGTACCACCCACCTCCACTCAGCCATGTGTGAAGGATAAATTCTGTGCAGTCTGCTTGAGTGACAACTCCTGCAATCAGTCAGAGGAGTTCAAGAAGATTTAGCAAGGTTACATTTTGTGTCTGCTACATAAAGGTACACTAACAAAAACTTCAACCATTTTTGGAAAGCTAACATACACAGTCAACGAAAAACAGAAAATGTGAAATAGAGCTTTGACACATGGATAAAATACCTGATGAGAAACTTCTGCTCTTACGGATTCTAAATAATTCTGGTCGGTTGGATATAGCGCACAAGCAAACATGAAATCCTGCCAAATCTACAAGGGGAAGGAAAGATTAAAAAAACTGTCAGCAAGTTACTTTACATACTTGAAAAATATATGGCTATTGGGATGCACAGTCCTTTGTTCAGACAGAAAACAAATCACATTCACCATGGGGCTCAAGTATGTGCATACTCCACTGTGGTTATCCTCAATATCAGGGTTTCAAAATATTTACCCTTAGGAATCAGCACCTGACAGCCTACACTGAGGAGCGGAGTATGGCTCAGTAGATGAAGTTCTGTGAGTTTCAACAGAATAATCAGAAACATGAACATGTAACAATTTGCAGCTGAACAGAACAATTTCTTATTTACTTACTATTTTGCAGGTGTAACACCAAATCCCCATTACTTAATGAGAAGAGACAATAATTCTTCTGATGTGGTACTGAGCACACTTAACAGACCTTAACGTGTACTTGTTAAGACAACACCTCCATACAAAATTATCAAAAAACCAGCAAATCTTACCCAGTAAGAAAGGCAGAAACAAACTAGATGCTCTAAAAACACTGTGATCTTTCTCTTCAAAGAAAGATCAAGTAGTTATTATTAGAGAACAGCAAGCCTTTCAATTCAAGAACAATAAACTCCATTCGTACCTTGCAGGAGAATTACAAAAATGGGAATGGAAGCCCAGTGAGATGGATAAGATTTCTTGTTTACCTGTCTTTGTTTAAATTGCCATGACCTTGAGGCTCCTTCTAGTCTGTCTCAAATTTCTAGAAGGAGCACCTTAACCCAAAGGAGTCTGTAGGAGACTCCACTTTTCTGAGCACCATGCTACATAGAGAGAGACAGAGACTAGCTCCTCACAAAACTGCATTTTCATTGCAGTGAGAATATGCTTTTCCATGGCTCTTTTCAGCACACATTCCCTTAGGAAACTGAAGATAAAGAATAGGACAGTAGGGGACAATGGAGTCATTAAGAATTGTTACAATCCTAACACTGTACAGCAAAAGCAAAACTATTGCTGCAGAATCACTCATAATCCTTTAGGGGCTGTTGGTGTCAAAACTCTCTATTGAAAGAAACTTTCTCACTATTTCCTTCAGTGAGCTATCACTGTTTTTCCTTAAGCACAGTTTGACTCCAATGCACTTTTAAGCCTTTGCAAGACCGTAAGAAGAAACAAAACCAAAAGCCTCCCCACTGCCCCGTCCAGAAAAAGGGTCTGATTCCCTGCATTTACTTGCTATTTTAGCTGTTAAATAGGATCTACCTCTTGCAATGAGCACTGTACAGACACAGATCTATGTGGCCTACTTAAGGTGCCTAGTGTCAAAAATTAAAGAACTCTAAGTGCTCAGAAGTCTTGAGAATCAGGACACTCATTCAGATCACTAAAATAGATGTAACTTTTTTTTTTTTGCAAGCACACACATCTGAAAGCAGCAAGGTATGAATATTGTTTCCCTTCTTCTTATGGTGTAGACTACGACCAAACACACTTCTCAGGATTTTTAATACCAGATGCAGCTTGACCTTCATTCATCTAGCCACTGCTTCATCATAACTTATTAATACGTGCCTCCAAGCTTATATAACAAAAGAAAGGTACTCATCTAGGATTAGTGATTGCAGCAGGTGTTCACCTTACAGCTACAGTTATATTCAATTATAGCTTGTTCAAAACGGCCCCTTGGATAATGCCTTCCATGTTTGTCTTTGGGTCAAAAGAAATGTTTGAACCAAAACCACCAAACCTTTTCAGCTGTTGCTAAAAAGAAGACAATACTTTTAAAATAAATAAAATCCATTTCCATAACTGAGAAGAGCATAGCTACCTTCTACCTAATGGCAACCTTCTACTATAAAGTCTCCAAAATATCACTTCCAGATTCAACAGACAGCCTCTGTAATCACAAACCATTCAAATTACAAAGAAATTAAAGAACCCCAACCAGCCATCCAAAAAATTAGGTTAATCTGATCTCTCACATTGGTACTCTAAAATGTTCTTTGGAAACATGATTAGAACTTATGTATTAATTATCTTTTTTTTTAAATTTGAAGTGGATTTTCATTTACAAGTTCTTGCCAGTTTTTAAATAAGTAGTCTGTGTTTATTGTTTTTACCATTATTCCTATTTCATCACAAATATCGTAAAACTCATCTTGTTCATATACTCCTCCTCCCCAAACCCGAAGGGCATTCATGTTAGCATCTGCTGCAGACTTCAAGAGCAGCCTTAGTCTGTCAAATACAAAAAGGAGATATACAAGTTGGGTGAAGTTGTATTAGTTAAGAATTTCCAAGGTTATACAAAAAACTAAGAAATGAATGCCCCTACCAAAAAAAACACCCAAATCTAAATCATTAGTAGGCAATCTATGACTTATAACTCTAACAGAAAGTATCAAAATACTCTGGTTTCTAAACCTGCATGTCTGGACAGAGCTCCCAAAAATCAAAATTTTGTGCAGAAAAAGTGGCTTGATCCTGTTAATACTTACAAAATAGATGGAGTGACACAAGTGTAAATGCTTTTACAGAAGTTTTGGCAGGACCAAATTTAGAAATACTATGTTTTATTAATCATGTTGGTCTTTTCTCCTCTGATATTACTTGCTTTGTATGTAAATTACTTGAATTTAAATTCTCTTTAAACACAATCAGGAATGTATATCCTCCTCCCAAGTTCCATAATGCATAGCGAGAATAGGGGAGTGAAATGGTGAGAAGAAATACTGAGACTGGGAATCTCATTTTAAGGGTTTTCGGCTTCATTTTTCCTTAAATCATACTGGTAGCCTCTAAATTGCATGTGAATGCACACACAGCATGCCCTGTTGTCCTGGTTCCCCAATACTCCAGAGCAAAACTTAGTCCAGGTACAGGACAGCCCCCATCCCACCTGCATCTCTGCAGAGCTGTGCAATGAAATCCAGGTAGTCTAGATGAAATCAGGAAAAGGGGAGAGGCTGCAATGCACCTACATAACCCTACATGACATGGGCTAGGACATGGATGAAGTGCACACCCTCTTGACTACCCATGGATGTGTCCAGATAAGGCCTGAGGATCACCCCTAAAAATACCCAAAAGGCCAGTAACTATGAACTGCAAGCAATCACCTTCCCACCAGCAATTGTGCCTACATGCCTTGAACATCACTCAAATCTGTTCATGTTAATTAAGCACTAATTCTGAAGCCTCCCACTCCCACCCACAACAATTAGTATTCTACCTTGAAAGTTTTACCCACTAAAGCCAACCTTTGATAAAGGGTGTAGAGAGAATCAGGAGGAGGAAAACATTATCCTTTATCCTTAGAGAACATCAAATGTGGCTTACGTGTCATAGGTCACTCTGTCCTGGAAAGAATCTGCTGGAATCCAGTTTGAGCCCTTAATAAAAATGGGTCGGCCATTGATTCTGAAGTAGAAACTCAGACCTGGTGAGCCAGGAATAGGCTCCTGAACAAGTTCTACTGTCCGAAAATAAACCTGTGAAGACATGGAACTTAGATTTAAAGCTGTCAAAAAAAGAATTAAAACTACATAAATAAAGAAAACCATTACAAAAGGGATTGAACTGAACAATAACAGCTTAGAACTGGTCAAGGAGTCAAAAGACATGGATTCATCTCTAAAATTCCAGCTTGCTGAAAACATCCTGTGAGTGTACTAGAAAGAATTCTTTCAATAAGCCTGTTCACTTTTTAAAGTTGCTATCATATTAAGAGAGGACAAGAGAAAGCATGAGCAAACAACTGTACGTGTGCACACAAGTATGTAAGGAAGAGACAGATGAAGTTTGATTGTTGCAGAATCCAGTGAAAAGTCCAGCTGAAGGCCAGAAAGAGGAATACAGGGGTTCCACCAGATCAGAAGCACCAGGTAATCTGCAATTTTCTCTACCAGGAGACTGCAGCAGCTCAGTTTTAAGTCTTATCCCTGAATGGCTAGCATGAGATTCACATAGTACAAGCAAGATCTCCTTTTACTGCTCTGAAATGGTATCTTTTTAATAGGTGCAACACTTAAGAGAAAAAAACACGCATGCAAACAGAAATGCCAGTTTGCAAGTGAAAGGCCCTCTGGCCATCACAGCTGTGTTGGAACAGCATGATCAGCAATAATGACTCAGAGTGACCAGTTCAGCTAAATAAACACTCCGAGTAAAGTATTAAAGATAAAGCACATTTCGAACAGAAGCAGAGGCCAAACTTTTACAGCTGTTCTTTTAGCCTAATATATGGCATTGTCATGCTGAAACAAGAAAACCTTCCTTTCTCCTGTTGCAGGCGGAATTAAAGCTCCCAGGAAACCATTCCAGACGTTTTCTAGGACTTCACTACAAGCAACAATGCTGCTCTGAGGGTATCCTGACTGCACTGACACAGACAGCCATGAAGGAGCAGTTAATGCACTGCAACAGCACTGACCCCTTATTTGTACAGGTGCCTTTCTCACCTGCCACATCAGCTCCTGCAGACCTTCAAACTCCTCCAGAGAACAGCTCTTTCAGAGACACTTTAAACATTTTCTCCTGCATCCTTATTCCAGTTCAACTTCCTTAAGTCAGAAAGAAAACACATTTTCTTTCTTGCACCTGTTGCTCATTATCATAGGGAGAAAACTGGAAAATTAAATAAAGGGAAGGAAAGCTCACGGTAAATTTTAGCCACAACAGGTTTGGGTCAGAAGGGCAGGAACCAAATTTTTTCTAAACTACTCCTAAGATAGTAACCACTCCTCTCTCAGATGACTATTTGCTTTACCTTTTCAAAAGGTCAGCTTGTACAGCACAGTCTGTTCTCCCTCTGCCACAAGCTTCAGCTGAAGAAAGTATATGTCACTAAACCAGGCTAAAATTAACCTAGTTAAGTGCAAAAGATAATTCTGTTTTTAATACAAAATGCAACTCTTTAATTCACACACTAGACATGGTTGTAATTCAAAAGGGAAATTATTAATCCCACTATGGGACTGCATTTTCTGAATGTTCAGCTTATCAAAAATCACACATATCGACAGAAAACTATTTCTATCAGTAGGGAGGAAAAAGAAAATCACAACTTTTTGCTTTCTCTTTGGTGCTTCTAAGTTAACAGGACAATTATCAACCAAATACCTGGATAGAGACAATGCATGTGACAAACCAGATGAATTAGCAGAGGTTGCAGATCACTGAGCTCAACCTATACAGCTCTGCATCATGGCAGTGACCATTCCTAGAATTTTGCAGACTTAGTTTAACAGTTGAGTTGAAATAATAACCAAAGTTTCATGCAACTTTCACAGTCACTCTAACTCCTGAAGGCCACAAAAGAGAAACTACAGTATGAGTACTGCACTAGTGAAAAAGTTCTGACCTTCCTACATTGAATTTAATTACTTGGAGAAAAACTCCTCAGTCTCCATTGTGCTCTGTTTTTATGGCACAAAGTGGAATGGGACTTGCAGTTGGAGCTGCCAAAGTATTTGGGATGTCATTAGGCAGGTTGGGACTGTCTCAGAGTGCATTTGTGATGGAGTATTTATATTACTAACAGAAGTAATGAGATACTGCTTTATTCCTGCTCAAGTGGAACTCATGCAACTGGCCAAACCCAAGGCAATCTGAGAGGCTGGAACACTCAGCCAGGACCACCCAGACAGCAGGAGCAAGGGAAAAAGCTCCTTAGCCTCAGCTCACATTCCCAGGCCTTCAAGATTCAGTGGAACCCCACTGCTCCCCCGAGGCCAGCTGGTAACAGCACATCTTCCTGTTCCTAATACAGCTTCCTTCTGCTTTGGGGGGGTAAAAGAAGGGCAATAGGAGACAACCAGCACCTGGCATGCTCGGCTACATGCCCTTCTGGCTATCAGTATCTTGGCCACCTCAAAATCTGTCTGATAGTGCTTGCTGCCTGAGGGCTGAACATTTCTCTCAGTCTCAGGACATGCACAAGAGGCTCTCTAGCCACCACAGACCAATCACCTGATTCTGGGCATAATTATGAAACAGATAACTACCTTTTTAAAGCACATACAAAGGCTTTGTAAACAGTTAAGTGACCTGTGGATGACATTTGGTATTCCGATATTTAGCACTAGGAAAAGTAATAAGGATGAAGACGCCTAGAGCTGAACTAAGATCACAGAACAACCCAGCGACCTAACAAATTAGCACACAGCATGAAAGTGGTGTGAAAACTACAAAGCCAGAAAGAAAGACTTCTGGAAGTCATGCTAAAATGCCTGGGGGGAAAAGAGTGTGTGAAGGGGATGGAGGAAAAGACTACTGGAGGTCAAGATCTTGAAAGTACAAAAATAGCCTTAAAAATTAACAACTCTGAGTGTAATGCTGGAGAAATGAGCATACAGAAAGTCAGAGAAATAGAACTGAGAAGCAAACAAATGCTTCATGGGGCAATGAAAGAGGTAATGAATTCCTTGATGTGGGGATGGCAAGAAATAAATAACTTTTCAATAGCAAACAGGACCCTCCATCAAGAAAACCAGCATCACTGTGAGATATGACTTTGTTTCACATTATCCTGAGGAAAAAAACTCTAAAACAAAATATTCAAATGGAAAACCAAACCACATCCCATCCTGGAAGTTGGCTTTTATTCTGCTTTGGTTTTCTGCTACTCTGAACAGAAATGAGTAAGTACTTCTTTGAGCCAAAGAGATTCCCAGCACTGCTGGCTACAGCTCTATACAGCTCCTGCAAATACATACTGCAAGGCCACCCAGAAATATTCCCAAAGCATTAGTTAAAGTTATGAATACTACTCTAGCATGTCAGAATCCAGAAAGTAGTTCAAGTTAGGAGTAGCCAAATCTGACATAAGATCAAGCTGTGCTTTCTCACATGTACAGTTCTCATGCTTCAGTTTTCTCCTATCCAAAGTTGAGTCGACACTCATATGGACAAAAGAGACTTGTGAAATGCCTCACCTCTGTTTTTTTCTGAGGGGAAAAGAAAGCGTGAAAGTAGGAAATTTATTCTTCCTGAACACAGTCAGTACAACATGGACAACAGATCTGACAACAAAACAACTTCCAGGAACATTAATCCCTGATTGTATCTCCTGAACTACTCAAAGTTCTTATTAAGCTGTATGAACGTTGCTGTTCAGTTCTGCTGACATGAGAGAAAATTATGCTACAACATGAAAAAACTGCGTACAGAGCCTTTTTCCACTCATACAGCTCTCACTGGGGGGTGATGGTGTGTGTATGCATGTGTGTCTGTCAGAATCTAAAACATAGATTCACACAACACAGGAAGGATGACCAGACTTCACACTGTAAGCTGTAACGGCTTCATATGCTGGTTAATTCACAATGCCCACTATGTGGTGCATTTGCTTTTTTCCCCCTCTTTCCCCTTAAGGAGAAAAAAAATAAGAGGTTTCTGTTGTAGACCATGAAGTCCTGATGATCATATGCCACAGAGCTCTATGAAATATTCTGACATAAGCACTCAAATGGAAATTATTAGCTTTCCTATCATTGTGCAGTTTTCACACAGTAATAACAGAATTTTGCTTTTTAGAGGCTTTATAACTGTATTTCCTACAACCAGTTTTTCCAAGCAACATATGCTGTGTTTACTTGGTGTGGGTTTTATAATTGTTTCAAAATTAGAACACTAATCATAGCAAATAATTATTATTATGATGACTTCATAATCAAACTAGGGGCTAGTCCAATAAAGATAAAACACCAGAAGGTACTAGTTTGCCTAAGTTTTTTTCACACTAGCAAATATTTCAGCAAATAGCAGTTTAGATACCTGGAGACCAGATTAGTTTTTAGTAAAGCAATATGCACCAGAAACATCTAATAAATGCATACATCTATGTGGTTGTTTCCACATGTTCATGGCATAAGGAGGCCAGTCTAATCCCTATGATTTTTCTATTTCCCTATGATTTTTCTATTTAATGGACAATTGGAAATTACCTCTTCTAGGCTTCTTAGTAAAACCAAACAGACAATTAAACAGCTGCTGTGTTAGCAGAACTCTTATGCAAAATCCCCCAAATATTACCTTTATGGTTGTATTTAAGACCTTACCTTTTCTTAAGCCTGAAGCACATCTACCACATTCTAATAAATAAATGTATGTTAGGTTTTTAGGAATGTGTCTATCCCATAAATTTTTACAAACTAAATTAGCAAAAAAGAAAAAAATCTCAGTAATAAACCTCTGCATAATCTTACAGAAATCTAAAAGGGTTTTTCAGTGCATGAGACAAAACTAAGAGCATGATGTATGAAGTTTAGAAGTGCTGTTTTCATAAGCTAGAAAACTTAAGAAGTAAACATCTTTTCTCTTCTGAGGTTTCTGGTTAACTGTAAACCATCCTACAGCCAGAATATAAACTAAAGGCATCCATACAAGGTAAGACTATCAGAAAACAGGTATCCATACACTGTGACATTAAAAAACTCATTTCTCATTAGCATTTTCACACACATGTTACAACTCAGCAAAACATTTAAGAGCTCTAGACATCTGCTATGCAGAGCAGATATCCTAAAACTAACAGTGCAATGCCAGATGTAATTAAACTTTAGGGCTCACCTTTGAAAACTTCTCAATCTGGCATCCTGCCTCCATCATGAAAGTTGTGGTCATGTTGTATCCAGTTTGCTTTCCATGTCCATTTGGCCACCAAGCCTCCACTACAGCACTCTTGAACATACAAGGGAGAAAGCCAGAGAACATGTATAAATAACAAGAGGTATCAAATGCACCTGGGGCTCAGGTATCTTTGAGTGAATTACCACAAGCCTAACGAGGTTTTGTGCTTCAGCTGAGATATGCTAACATTCTCTCCAGCTGCAGCTCTGAGGTGAAAATCATTTAAAGAGAGAAGTGTGATTTCTTCTGCTCAAGTTCAGGCTATCACTTCATTTTGTGTCCACAACAGGCCATGAGCACGCCTGGACATGCATGCACACATCTAGCTGCTACTCCTCAGCTGAGATGCACTGACACATTATTCCTCCAAACCCCAAATATTTGTGTCAGGAGCAGCCACTGTTCACTGAGTTCTGTATCACACACCTCTTCTCATTGATCCTTTAACCTATCCCATGCAATATTCAATATACAGCAGTAACACTTTTCAACTGTGATTCTGGTAATATGTGACCATAATGACTGCTTCACTTCTGTCAAGCTTTTAAGTCAAATTCTTTCATTCGTTCAGTGGTTTTTTGCTTTGTGTCGCTGTTTCCTAATCACATCATTAGTACTCCATAATTTTTACAAACATGAAATACAATCTCCAAGATGACAGAATATTTATCTTCACTCTAGCAGCCTAATTCTGCTGCTCATTCCTGTTGCCAGCATTTGCCAATTGAGTGCATAACGCAAAAATTGTGGAAAGAAAGCAATAATGCATGCAACCGAACAATGGAGGGATCAGCACTGAATTTAGTCATGCAAGGAGTGCCTCAACCTTTTCAAACAAACTGAGGCCAGAAAGCAGTCCAGCAATATGTTTTGCTGTAGCTATACCTGAACAAAACCATGAATATGAATATATATATATATATATATATATATATATATATATAAATTATGTATCATGAATACATCTTTCAGCTTCTCCAATACAGAATTATCTCAACTACTTGAGAGGAAATCCTGATCTCTGTGCTGCATGGATACAAACGGAAGCGCAGACTCAGCGAGTGCCTCGACAACAAGGGAGCGTTCTCAGCAGCCTGGGATGACTGGATGTCTCATTGGCCACTAATGATGTCACCACCCTGCTCACCATTAGCTGATAAGCAAAACGCTGTCACGTTGGCAGCGTGGCAACTGCAGGAAGGCTGATACACATCTCGGAGATGTGCACCACTCGAACACCTACTGACTCCACAACCTAATCTGCAATAAGCTCTTAACTAGAAATACATTTCTGGTGAGGTCTCAGCATCTAGCATGCACCACACAAGTCTGTGTACAGAGTAAGGGCTCTGTTAGCCTCATCAATACATGAGAACACATTTCTAGGCTTCTCATAAAATCAGCTGATGTGAATTCATGCAGCAAAGCCTTTTGTGAACAAAGAATAATGAAACACTGCTGCCTCTGCTCTGAAGGAGATGCTTCCTTCCAGACTTGCAGTTGCACTACACTAACAGATCTCTTCTGAGGCTGGGACAACTAAATAAGCAACAATAATTTTTCAAGTTTCACTTTGCAGTGCCTGTTTAATGTAATCCATTAAAAGGCTAAGCAGAGACTCATGGTAGCTTTAAATGAAACTGGGTATTGGTATTTTCTCGGGTAACTTTCATGTCAGATGACAACAGTAAGAAAAACTGTATGTTTCTATGCTTCTGTGTCAAAATAAAACAAAGCACATAAGTACACAAGTCACAGAGTGTGCACACTGGAACATAAAACACCCTGCTTGCTTTCTCTCCATGCAAACAACTGACAAGTGAACTCAAGAACACACACAGACAATGCAGTCAAACTGGCAAAACAGATGCAGAGTCACACAGCAGTGCAGAAAAACAGCAGAGCCACTAAAATATAGAAGAGCTTGAAGGCAGACCCTCTAATGCTATTAACTGCCTGTACTGTCAGAAGCCTCAAATTCCTGCTCACAGCACAGAATCCACTCACAAATGTGTGTCCTGCAGCAGTGAAGCTCCTGTGGAGAACTGTATCAGGTGTGGCTCCTGCTGCATCTGCCAGGACTCCTACTCTGCCCACTGGCTGAAGCCTGATTTTTTTAATTGAGTTTGCTCCTCATTAGAGTACCTTCTACCAGTCAAAAATTCCTCCTGAGAGATGCCTATCCAAAGGACTACAAGTGAATGTAAGGAGTATTACTCCACAAAATTTTCTTTTGCTTTTATTTACCTGAAAGTAAATATATATCTACTGAGAGGCTTGAGGAATCTTTCCTCTCTCTCCTGGGAGAATCCTCTGTATTGTAGTACATTCTGGTCCTAATCAATCCAGTAAACAGTAGCATGCGAGATACCTGCTGCCAGTGAAGTGAAGTGACACAGGGTATCCAAATGTTATTTACCTCAATAACTCAAAACAAGGTCATTTAACAGTGGCCAGTGATTATGTGACCTTTTTCTAAGGCTTCATCACCTTTTGGCAGTGAGCTACATAGCTTCACAGACATCAGATTTTAGAAAAGAACTGTTCTCCTACCCTGTAAGGGGTACAGAACTGTTGTTAAAAGTCAGGAACACAGTAAGGAATGGGAAGGAGGCCTAAAACTGGCATGGAGGCAGAAAGTCTCACTGGAAACCAGGGGAAAATTTTGTAGCTGAACTAGCTCTCCACACACACCTCTTTACCTTGTTGATGTTTACAAGCAGCACAATGCTGCCTTCTCCAGGTTGAAGCTTCACACTGAATGTTTGCTGCGTTTGTAACTTGGGAATGTTCACAGTCACAAGACCCGCAATTGGCTTGGAGCTGACTACATCAAAAATAGACTCGACTTCAAGACACCACTGCTGAGCACTCTTTGCTAAGTGAAGAAGGAGGAAAAAATGGGATTTAAGAGTTATGTTTATATACCTATTAGTTAACATTATCCTTCATTAATGAAAAAATTCAAACACCTAAGATTAAATGTAATAATTTTCAGGCTGTGTCTGAACCAACCTACATAGTTAATCTGCTTATTTAGTGTGTTTGGCATCTGAGCCCAATGAAAGAGAACAATGCAATATGATTTCTGTTTTTTAACTCTTTTTTTAATTCAGAAGCCATCCAGGCTTTTTTTTTCAGAGCTCTGTACAAAAGTCGGAGACCTTGACACCAGTCACTTCATTAGGAAGGAATTTTTTCCCACCAACTCCCATAGACATTGTATTTGCTTTTAGTCAGCACTCATATGAACATGGTACTCTTTGGGAAAGATTGTAATCACAAGCCAGTACAATCACTTTTGTCAATGAAACAAAAACAGTATTAACAGAAAACGAGCTGAATTCATCCCAGACTCACTGGACAAAATGAATGGAGCTACACTGGGGATGAATTGGGCCCACTTTGTCTAGACTTGACAGGCTATATCTTTATGTCCCTTCTCCCACCCATGTGTCGGGAAAGAAACAAGTTAATGACTTCCCTGAGATCTCTCTGAAGTTACCACAGAGCATCCTCTCTTTTACAGAGCTTACTGAATAAGGAGAGCCAAGGTCAAGGGTACTCAAGATCTATGTGTAAATTTCCCACTAACTTCAGCAGTTGAATTGCCTAGCTACAAACACAGCCTGGTTAATCCTATACTTCAAATATTGCAGATTAACAAATAAGCAAAAGCAAACAAAACAGAAAAACAAAACAAGGAGAACTAGAACTAAGACACATTTTGTATACCCAAACTACTAATAACTGACTTTCTCTTTTCATTTATATAGTCTAGCTCTCCTTCCTCCACAAGAGAAAGAGAGCTCACTCCAAAAAACAAAGAATTGCATTCAGCCCTGGTGTGGTTTTCACTGTCTTTCACAGAATGAAGAGCAATGATTGAGTTCCCAAGTTTATATTACACCCAGCATTACCCAGTGAAGACCAATTCACTGAAATGTGGAAAAGGTTAAAAAGTACCCACCCTACAAAAGTCAGACATTACAGTGCATTCTTCCTCCCTTACAAAAGCACACAGAAATTCCAACCCATTCCTAACTGCCTGAACTGTGGGGTCCAGGCAGAGAAACCAAGAACAATGAATCTTTTACAGACTCAGTGGTCAAAAGGCTATGACACATAATCTGATGAACAATAAAAGTACATATGCAGCTTAAATTCAGGTTGTTCATTTACTCTTTCCTTTTCAAATGTTATTATGTTTGAATACTAATAAGCTCTTGCTCTGGTTCCAAGCTACTCTCTGCTGAAGGAAAGAGATTTGCTCTCTCCACTTACCCAGAGAGCAAGACTTTACCTACCAGAAGGTGGAGTTGTGGGAATGTGGGAGGGACCAGAAAAGATTTTTATTGTAACTAAATTTCAGAAAGCACACAGTCTGTGCTGGGGCTTTCCATGGAAATTCCAGTCACGTCAATGCTATTTAAGACCTGCAGCTATTTCAGGACACTTTAAAAGCAGCCATGGAGTGATGTCTTCCTCTTTTATTCATACACAACAAATCTGTTCCCAAGGGCCAAAATTCACCCCAGTGCAGAGGACCCACGTGCTAGCCTATACTCCACTGGGCTCAACAGGCAGTGAAAAAAAGCATGTGGGTGGTCTACAACCAGGCATATCACCATTTGCAGAAAGTTTCAAGGGAAAATTAACTACTTCTGCACAGCTGCAATGATCTTCAGGACAAAGGAGAGGAAAATCAGAGACCACTGCAAGAGAGGAAACCGGTTTGGTAGGTTAGGTAGCAAGAATGCAGGAGGTTATTCTGTCCAATTGCAGCTTTAACAATTATCCTTGCATAGCACAACTGCTTTTCTCTCTCAGACTTCATGTTGTGTCCTGAAAACTCAGCAGTCTTCGAACTCTGCTCATTGTGCATTTGTCCTTCCAACACAAAACCAAATTCCCATAGCAGCTTTGCCTTTGTTTGAAATGAAAGTGAGATGAAAGTGAGACATATTTACAGGGAGTCTTGGTGAAAACACATGCCAATAGAAAGGAAAAACTGAAGAACAGGTGCTAATCTCAATTATACTACATTTATTTATTCTAACACTTTATACTACATTTATTATATTCTAACACTTTTAACAGTTATTGTTTGTTATGAAGTACTGTTTCAATACCTAATAAAGGTGTGTTCTGGAAAGAACCACACACAAAGTCATAAAAAACCCAGAGAACATTTCCTACCTGACAGTTAATTTGGCTTACCAATAAAATGGTTTGTATTATAAAGGTGAAACCAGTAACAAGAAGAAATAAGAGACTTACCAAAGAAAGGAGTTATAGAAAAGTAAATCAGATGATAATGGTTATAGGCCTCAATCCTAACATCTTTCCAGATTCCTTGAGTGGGAAAAGAAGGGCCCCAATCCCAACTAAATGAACATTGCTCCTGGAAAACAGAATTATTATGTTACAAATGCCTGTTTTTCACATAGACATTGATGCCATGCCAGAAATAAAAGACATTTGCTATCTGGGAATAAAATATTGACAGGCACTGAAAGAATTTTTCCAGTTTCCATAAATCCAGAAGACCCTACAGTATTTTTTTCTTATTTCACAACCAGAACTTGCTGCTACGACCTGTATTATACAAAAAATTAAATTCTGTATTAAACATCCATGTCAGGAGAAATTCTGTATTACCAAAAGAGCAGAACAACACTTAGCATACCACCAAAAAAACCACCAGCAAGACCCCAAACAGTAAAGATCAAAAAAACAAGGAGATTACTCTCAATTCAGCTGTGAATTATCTTACTTTGTAATGCCAGTATATAACTGTATACCTAAAGACAAACTAAGTAGAAAACTGACAATTATAAATGTTACAGTATTCTAGAAGAACAGTATCAAATTAAAAACCATATATTAAATAGTTTATCTCCTATTTTTAGTTTTAACACCACAGAGTAATACAAGGAAAGAAATGGATATGTCTGGAGTATTTGTGTAGTTCAGTCATGTTCGCTGTTTCTCCCCTTTTTATGGTTCTCCTATTCAAAAACAAAGGGAACAAAAACATGGTTGAGAAGTAGCTTAGTTCTGGTACTAACATCAGAATAACTGTCAGAATTATAAAATGCTGGTCAGGCAGAGAAGTGCGTACACTCATTTCCATTTAGCTGTTTTCAAACCTAGTCAGACCTCTACTTAACAAATCCCTTGACAACATCTATTCAGCTGCCCTCCAAGTTTCACACAGCCCCAGCCCCCAAAGCAAATACAATAGATCTCCTAAAGTCTTGTACAGTGACACACAATTCTAAATTTAGAGACTAATAACTTACAGCCAAGGCATACTAATTTGGGCAAACCACATTGCACAAGCCTGGCCTATCCCTTGCCTTGCCAGTCAGCCTCCCTGTCTATCAAGCTGCAAAAGAGCCTTCCAGGAAGCAAACACTGCACCTATTTCAAACAGAAAACCAGGGATACATTCTTAGAAAACATGCCCAATTGGAAATCATTTCCCCTTTATATAAAATAAACAAATGAATCACTGACAGATTGGCAGGTTTCACTAAAAATACTGCAGAGACTGCTATCAAAAACAGTACATCACAAGAACAATATGCCTGTATCACTGGAGTACATCAGCAGTGACAGGTCTGGGTTCTGCCACAAACTCCTACTCAGATTTAGATAAGTTTACTGCACTTAATACTGCACCTGAAATGTGTAAATATATCTCCATTACTTTCAGGTGAGAAGCCACCAGCTTATAGCAATGTCCTAGTATGTTTGTTTAGTTTTAGATGTGACATTGCTGCTGTTGTTGCCAATATTTGGAATTCAAAATGTTTCTGGAAATTTCTGGAGCAGTTTCCAAGTACAGTCAAAAAATTCATTTGAGGAAAAAGCACTAGAGTACTTTCTAACAAATTTAAAGGTATAGTTCAGTGAAGCATAAAATCATTCCAGGTCTCTTTTGCTCTATATACTCCAGCTGAGTAAGTGCCCTCTTCCTTGCAAGCCTCTCCTTGCACTGATTTCAGAGAAACACAGTGGACTCAGAAGAACTAATAAACTTTCTAAAATGTAGAGAAAATAAAAGTAGCAGCAAGCAGAAATAAAGACAGTGTCTTAATCCTAAAGGATCTTTCCAGGACAACATGGAGTCCATGTTTACATTAATAAATGATAAAGGAAATTATATCCAGGTTTAAATACCAGATATACAGAATCCTGGTCATTTTTGAGGAGGCTCTAGAAGGACTTTATCAGAAAGTTTGAGAATAATTATCAAGAAAGGCATTTAAGTGGAGACAAATATGCAAAAACACCCAAAAAGAGAAATTAGAAAATAAGATCATCTAGACATTACCCCTATCTGCTGCAAAGCTATCAGAAATACATGAGGTGCTACTCAAATAATAGTTTGCCCTGAGTTGTTTTAACAGCAAAGAAGGCATATCTTAAATCAAAGTTTCTGAGTTTCATTCATTTAAATTACACAGTTGTTTTCATTGAATATGTACATGTAAGTCACACTTGACAACACTAATAAGATGAGAACAGGTTCCCTGTTAGGTAACACTTCTTGGGACATGCCAGAGCTTCCCAGTATAAATAGCACAGCACATGAGCAACAGCAAACACTCACAAAGCTGCTTGGATGAGATTTTTACAGCCTTGGCTATAACACACTGGTATTTGCAACAGTGAACTCTATTGTCAGCATACACTGCTAAACCCACCCAGTGGACCAAAATGGAACGATTACACATTTCCCAATGCTGTCCTGCCCTCTTAGCAGCAAGTCTCCTTGCTGACTCTTTGATGAAAACAGCCTTTTAAACATTCTTATCACTTAGATATGAAGCCTGGCCTTCTCGTGCCTCCTGTATTGTCAACATACAAGACTACAGGTTTCTAGGGGGGATGGGAGAAGGAAGCTGCAATGAAAAATATGCCCTACTTATAAAACAACATTGCAGGTTTCAGAATACAACTGTAAGGACAGCTTGTGGTGCATTCCTCTTTCCCAGCCTGAAGCCAGAGACAATTCTGCCCCTACCTTTCTGATGAAATTAACGTGGCACTCTCCTTTCTGCACAGGTGGAGGGCACGCCGGGGGGATGCTGTGTGCTTTGTGACATCTGCTCTGCTCCGCTGCGTAGGAAACGGCTGACAAGAAACGGACTTCAACAAAATTGACCTCCTGGATCACGCTGGTAATATCAAAGCTCTAGGACAAAACACAGAACAAAACCATTACAGTGCTGACATTTATCTAGGAGATTTACAATCACTATTACACAGGGATTTTAATACCATACATATATTATTGAAAAGCTTTTGAAATACACTCTCAGCGTGCTCTGGTTTTGAAAGAAAAGAAAAGCTTCTTTGTAAACTGAAAAAAAAAAAGAGAAAATACACAGGAATGTTCTAGATAGAAGATGTTTCTGGGCAAATCACTTTCCTCACACCAAGCTCTCGTTGCAGGCTGCAGCACTTTGCTTGCACAGAGAAGTACCTGAAGGACAAGGACAGCAAGAGAATCTTTACCCTCATTTCTCATCCAGAACCCATCTGCATCTTTGGAAAGACACCTTATTCCAATTCAGAGAGCTGCTCCATACAGGAGCGCTTCCAGCTCACACTCTGCTGCCAGCTCATCTACCACAAGCCACTGAGCTGCCTCGTCCATGAATGCTGCAAAGCTGCAGTTCATTCCCCAAAACGAAATGACTTGCATTCTAATCCCCCAAATGTAAGACACACATTCTATGCCAGCACCAAATGAAGCATTTGGGGGCTTCCTCACCAGGTCACAAAATCCCCTTCAGTGTGGCTGGAGAACAGGAGAAATATTCCATTTCAGAATTATCCTGTGCTATCAATATGGTTCCAATGGCTAATACCCATTTATTCCTCAGAGTGCACATTTGTGAAAAGTCCAGTCTTGGCAATTTTTCTTTAATTTGGGAGCAGCCCAGATAGAATCACTTACTTCTGTAGCATACAGCAGGATATTAGAAAGCAAATAGCATTCCCCAATCCCGAGCCTTCAGGGAGTCCTTCTTGCAGATGTTGTTGCCATGTGCAACAGGTGAACAAGGCACAAGCCTGGGTCACAGTAACCCTGGACTCAATTTAATGCAGTACACTCTGGTTTTACAGAGAAGGCCATTTCATGAATTGTTACAATTTGATACAAAATCAAGTTGCAGAAATATGGACAAAATAATACCACTTCCTAACTTTACAGAACCTGCTACTGACAAGCCTTTAGATACTCTCAAAACAGTAAATAATTACAATTTCATAAAAACTCTATGAAATTTCGGATTTCACTAATGGTAAAAGTAAGTCAAAGAGAAACTAAGTGGTTTGTCCCAGGTCACACAGAGCCAAGTGGCAGAATGTCTTATGTCTCAGTCCAGTGCTTTTGCGAAAAAACCTGCCAGAATGGTAAATGCTGAAATATGGATTTCTTTTGTAATTCAGTTATTCCACTATCAATCTTCCCTTAATTCTTCAGATTCTTTGATTATTTTAAGATTATGTTAATACCAGAATAATTTTGTATTTTAAAGCTATAAAATTAGTTTGAATGTTTTTGCCATTCTCAAGATCATTCCACAATGAATACTCTCATCCTGACATAAGTGAAGCTCAAAAATGCAAGACATGTTATCCAAAGTACCATATTAAAAATAAGCCACCCTCTTTAAAAACAAAAAGCATGAAAACACACACAGGCTTTACAGCACATGCATTTTCATTGCAGTATTGAAATGTAAACCATTCTAATACCAATTAGTAAGAAGATTTACAGCTAATAAAACAGATTTAAGCTTATGTTTTCTTGGAGCTGGGACAGATCCCAAGAAACAAGGCACATTATTAGCTGAATTGATCCTCTTGCATTGGTTCTCTCATTTAGGACAAGGCACATTCACCTCTAGATATGACCCTGTTGCTAGTGAAAAGGTAAGTACACTTCCCTTCCTAACATTTACCTGATTACACATGCAGTCCTCAAGTCAACACTTTCTGCACCCAAGCACCTACTTTTATAGGTACTTGAATGCACTTGCTCAGAGAAAAAGGGCTTTGAAGCAAGCACAGAAGCACCTTCACAAATAAACACATTGCTTACATATCTGTTGAACATGTTGTCTGTTCTCCCGAGAGTGACATTGTTGAGCAGGATCTGTGCTACTGTATCTACTCCCTCAAAAACCAAATTCACTTTCTGCCACTTTCTACAAAAGAAAACATACATGTGAAAAACTGTCAGAATACCTAGAGTTAAAAACACACAGGACACAGACAATGTAAAAATGCATATCACTATTATACCAGCAGTTGCTTCAGCTACTTTTGACTCAGTGTAGCTACACTGTACCTTTAAACAGTCAAATTAAAGCTGAAGTAGCTCAAGTCAGCATGCTCAAGAACACATGAGGCTCATATACCCACCAGATATTAGAAGGGATAGCTTTCAATTAGCCTAAGTACTATATTTTTTTCAGCTGACAATTCATAAGTAATTTTTAATAATCAATTAAAAAAAATAAAAAAGCAACAATTGAAGTGTTCTGTAGCAACAGCCTTGCAGCAGCACATGACTGCATAATTTGTTTTATCAGATACAAAAGCATTAAGCAGATTTTGAGTGGATGGATTAACTTGCAATTCTGCGTGAAAGATGGCACAGAACTATTTTAGACATATCTTCACTGCATACCTGATGTCAAAAGGAGTTTTGAACGTCCTGCTGTAAGTCCAGTTATCTAGTGAGATCCATCTGTACATCACATCATTAAATCTATAGTATGGATCCTAGTAACAGACCAACAAAAAGAAAATGACATTATTTATTTAGTTATAGTGTCACTACATTAAAAGCATCACAATATCCATTAGATGAACACTTCTTATTTCATTCAGTCTCCAAATGCAAAATCCACCTTAGTTAGTCCTGATACTCCTTTTCACCCCTAAAATTTTACCTGAAAGCAAAGCTTTAGTAATATTTGACTTTATTTATATAGCTCAAAACCCTGTCTGCTGTAATCACTCAAACTAGAAGTTTGAGCAGGATTTGTTTTTACAGAAGAAATTACTGGTCTGGAAATTAACCAATAAATCCAGAGAGCTTGTGACTTAATGAGAGGAACAGAAACATGATCACACTCATAATTATGGAGAAAGTAAGACGAATAGGATTTTAAGAGGCAGAGAAACAGCATTTCAGGCCTCTAGGGACAGCAGTGAACAAATCTCTAGTTTAAAGTTATTGCAAATAATCCAGTTGTTCCTTGTCAGCTAGACTTGCTGTGGTAAGGATAAATGAAATTGTTGTACGTGGAGAGATGGAGAAAGACAAGAAGGAGAAGCAACATCATTCTGATTTTGGTAAAAAACTAAATGACTATTTTTGAGAATAGTATTGCATTTACACCAAATGTGTCCTTCTCCCTTTAACCACAGTACCTAGGAAGAACAGAAGGCACAGTTGGTCTAAGCTACGTGCTTGGCCTTTCTGGCTTCATGCTGTATTTATTACCTTACAGTGGACCACCATGTCCCTCACCCAGCTTAAAGGACCTGACATCCCACAGCCTCACACCTCATACAAAGGCAGCAGAAAGGTCCCATCCCATGTCAGAGAGCAGAAAGGCACTGTCGCAGGTGTCAGAGAGCAGAAAGGCACAGTGTCCCATCCCATGTCAGAGCAGAAAGGCACAGTGTACCATGCCATGCCAGAGAGCAGACAGGCAGTGTCCCAGGTGTCAGAGAGCAGAAAGGCAGTGTCCCATCCCATGTCAGAGAGCAGAAAGGCACAGTGTCCCATGCCATCTCAGAGAGCAGACAGGCAGTGTCCCATGTGTCAGGGAGCAGAAAGGCAGTGTCCCATGTGTCAGGGAGCAGAAGGGCAGTGTCCCATCCCACATCAGAGCAGAAATGCAGTGTCCCATGCCATGTCAGGGAGCAGAAGGGCAGTGTCCCATGCCGTGTCAGAGTGCCGTACCCGGGTCCCAGCTGACAGCCCTGTTCCATCCCCTGCAGCACTGCAGGGCTGAGCTGCTGCCCCAAACAAAGGCCAATCTCTTCAGGCCTGTGTGACCCAAGCCGGCTCAGAGAGAGGGGAGCTGCGTTAGGGTTTGCTTTGACAGGAGTGTTCTAACAGTACCAACACACTTAACTACCCACGCTGAATATCCTCAGTCACACTGAAGAAAATCTGCCCAGCTTTTTTTCTTTCCTACTTGCTGGAACTTAATTTCTCTCCCCATTCCAGGAGTCCATATGCATAGTTACAACATTTGGAATTTGAAGTCTTCTGAAAAAAAAAAAAATGGTCCTGTACCTCATAATTGTTTTACAACTAACAGGGTCAGGATCCATAATAAACACATAAAACTATTTACATAGCAGAGCAAAATCTTAACATCTAAGTGACTCTCCTCAGCAGCACAGACCCTTCTGGAGTCCTAAGCAATACAAACATCATTCCTTGGGTTCATACAGAGGGAAAGATGTCACGCTGCTCCTACATGCCATGCTCAGTCAAATTTCTTACTACAAGGGAAGAGTCAAAAAGGAAAAGCCTTGTCACCAGAGTAAAACTGTGACCTCTGTACTGATAATACAGTGTATTCTCTAAAGGTAAGTCATCATGAGCTTACAGGACTATCACTGAATTTTAAGACATTCATTCCATTACTTTTGGTTAATATATCTCAGACTTCTATTGAGATGCAAAAGTTAAAGCCAAGAAATGCATATTAATATGCAAAATTTAGGCTCATAAAAGAAACTTCACTGAGATCATTGTACTGAGATGAGAGGCAAGCATAGAATGCCAGAGACCATGAAACCCCACAATATGTACTTTAAAAAGCACATTTTTAACAACAGTCTTGCTTTAACATTATATACCATCTTATAGATGTTTACATATGCATACATATTCGTATTTAACATTACATACTATTTTATTTCACATTATGCTTTGAAAAATGTGCATGTTAAATTTCAATCTTTGCCACTTTTATGTGTGAAATATTTAACAAAAGGCGTGAGAGGAAAGTTGCAAATGCACTACCAACAGCAGACTGGAAAGCCATTTGGTTAATGGTCAATCAACATCAGTGCCTCAGCAAAGATGCACAAAAGAAACCTGCACCATTTCTCCCACAAAAGCACAGATATCAAGATGTTAGTGGACAAAGTCCTGACTTCTGGAAAACACAAAACTGGTTGTCTAGCAGCAGAAATGCAGGCATATTTTATCAGAGGCAGAAATAATTGCCAAAGGGGCTCTTACAGGAGCTTACAGAGTGACATGTTTGAATCTCAGAATACACTGAAGATCCTTTTTCCTGAAGGAGCTTTCTTCTTTACTAGTCTAAAGCCTTCAAACTTCAAGAAATGCACTGACTCCTAAAATAGGTGTCATAGAAAGTGCAAATTAGCCCTTCTGACTCACAGGCATCCACCCTTTTAGATGGAAAGCTCACAGTTCCGTGTACCTTCATGTAGAACTTAACAGTTTACTGATATCATTGCTACCTAAGCAGTAAGACAGCTCATACATCACATAACAGCTGTTAAATGCTAGTAGCTGGTCAGCCATTTTAACCATGACAAATGTTGAGAGTTGTAAAATCAGTCGTGCCAATGTTCAAGCAATGCTTTTAAGATAATTCTCAAGGTTCAGGAGAAACGCATGATCAAAACAAAGTCCTCTAAGAAAGCAGAATTACTTTGCCAATACATTTGTGAGGTTATTGACTTTTCCATTATTAAATACAATTGTTCTGAGTGCTGGAAGATGTAACTGTGTAAGTCAAATTGTTTGGATTTCTCTGAAGCAGAATTTCATCCCACGTTAAATCATTTCACATCAAAATGAAAGGCTTAGTTCAGAAAAGTGCATTAAAAAAAAAAAAAAAAGACAAATTTAAACCACTTAAAGGCACAGGGAGAAATTGAAAGATGGTAGGAAATAGGCTACACCTATTAAATACACTTCACATTCAATAGCTCAATAGCTCAGTGTGTTCCTGGAAGCAATTCATAGAGGGGTGGAGTCAACTATAGTTATTTTTAGATCCCACCAAACATAACAGCCTTGCATTTTCCTGCTCCCTGCAATTTGGGGGAAAAATCTGAAGTATTCAAGCTGCCTGCCTGTTTGTTCCCTGCTCCCAGACTCAACGCTGTAAGGAAGGAGCAAATCACCTCCTAAGAGAAGGTTAAAAGCCCTGCCACAGATCATCAAAAGGAAGCAATTTCCAGGTCGGCTAACAGGACATCAGCAGGACTTCAAAAGCACTGGCAGCACTACAATGAAGGACCTGCCAGTGCCCAGATGGAAGCTTCTCCTTGCAGTGATTTTAAAGGGATATTGAAAAGCCACGGTGATATAAGCTAAGAGCTTCTCCTGTTAAGCAGGAAATGGATGAGACATGAACACACGAGAAGTGAATCTCCAAGCCCAAGTGAGTGAGCAGTGGTGCCAGGCATACCCTGGCCCTACGAAAGGACACCTCCTGGTCACCCAGGATCCAGGAGTTCTGAGGGGCATGGCACAAACACCTGAATGACAGCAGACAGAGTCAGTTGTACCCAGGTGGAAGATCTGCATGAAATAAAATGAAATTTAATAAAGAGAACAAAAACCAGATTCCTCTGCCTTACCCTGCTTTTGTTGTGGTCTAATTCAGAGTCACCTTACATGCTCTTCTCATAAATTAACTCTGCTGGTATTTTATCATGTACACTGTAAGAAAATTCTGATGGTGTAACAGATCACCAAAATAAAATTTGCAAGTGACGTTTCATGATTTACTGAAAGTTTAATGATTCTGCTCTGGGCAACTTCAGATGAAAGCTAAGTAGTTAAAATATACTTATCTATACCCATGTGCTCCTTGACATCACAAGCGATAGCAGTCAGGACATTTATATAATTTTCACAGCTTGAAGTCAGGCTGAACTAACAGCAGTGATGAATGGATCATATCCTTGGAGCATTAGTTTTGAAGTTTCTTCTAAAGTAACTAAATTTCAGTAGCTGCTTTCAGAAAGCAGTAACCTGAATGTCACTGTCAATGTTCAGGATGTGTCACAGCAGAACACTAGGCCAAATATGACTAAAGAGTTAACACAGTAATACCTACTGCTTAATATTACTTGAATACTTGGATGTATTTAACAGACCACTATAAATCTTACCTCCTTTAACATCACAAGCTTTTGAAAGAAAAAAATAAAGTATCCTTTAATATTTATGCTAAGTTTTACTAAGGGCTTTAAATGTCTGCACATGTGTTTTCACAGTTCAGCAGAGCACGTGTATGTCAGTGGAAAATAATATAATCATCAACTACTCCAACAATGAATGCCACCTAACCTGAACAGAACCATAGGATACCAAATGGAATTGTTACCTGGCTTGTTCCAAAAAAATCTAAGTTGTGATGAAGCGCCAGAAAATAAACAACAGCATATTTTATACAAATGCAGAACAAGCTACAGAAAACCACATCACTTTCCAGAAATGTAGAGCTATCAGCTATCAGTGCATAAACTTCTGTCTCTTCTAATACATTTTGATATCCAAGTATGACCAAGAGCACTGTTAGCTTCTCTGCCAAGTGCATGCCCTTGTCTAACAGGCCAGAACATGCAGAATTACCCAGCCCCTATATCAGCATCACACTTGCAGACCTCTATAGTACTCCATACAAGTCTAAGTGACAACTGAGAAGACAGAACAGCCTTATGTATAAATGCAAATGGCTGTCATATGAGAAAATCCAACTACAAGA